TGACGGCAAGTTTCGCTTCTTTTGTATTCATTACAAAACCGCACAAGCGTGAAAAATATCGTCGAATCAAAACGAAGAAGTTTATAAAGATTCTACAAGAATAGATGTGCTCAGTGGAAGTCATAGAAGTTAAGGTTACAAATTATTTTGCTCTTCAACGCTCGGTTTCCGAGTAATACTATCAGTCTCGATACTTTTTCATTAGCCCTCGTATGTAACATACCACATTGACAATGGCAATATTGCCAACAAACAAAAACAAATAACGACAATCCGCAAACGATAATAGCCTTATCCGGTCCGCAAACGCCGTGGGTACGCGTAAGACGTGGACGGCCGCTACTCGAACGGCACCCTATCCTCGAACTGGCGGCCGGACTGGCGGCACTCGCGTCGAAGGCGACGCACAACCGCGACGGCGGGTGCCGGGCCGATGACGCGACCGGGGGACTCACACGGCTGATTTAGGCCCATATCGCCGAAACTCATTTCGCCGAATTCCGTCTCGCCGAAATTCCATTTCGCGGAATCACATTAAATACCTACCATAGTTTTTAACATACTAAATTTTACCTAGGCACTTTGAAAGTAATTTAATACCTACGACTACCCATCAGCCGAACTCTTGGGCAATGGGAAACAATACCAACAATTTGTAAAAAATTTCAACATTTTTTTAAAACGGTAATATCAAAACCGAAAACGAAAATCAATATACGCGGTGTGATTTTGAACTTTTTTATTGGTACATACATTTATAAATTCATATTACTAGTATAATAAAATACAACAATAAACTAACTGTAGTATAAAAGAAATATAGGATTTCTCTTACCTTTGGAATATCTCGAAATTCACGTCATATAAATTCAATTTTATTTGTCACATGACTATGAGTTATGACTTTTTGATATTATTATACATTATTATTGATACGTTATGTCCACTACATTTATCAATCCTGTATACATAACTGTCTAGTACTAATAATTTTTTTTCATGGTTTGAATTAATTTTTTACCAAGACATACCTATTTTCTTTTAAAATTGTACGGTTAGGTTGCTTGTACGGAAAAGGTGACTGCAGACTAAAGAGTATAACAGTGCGTATTTGTAGATTTGTAGATGTACTCGTAATGTTTTTATTATCGTTGTCACTTTATCAGCGATATGATTACAGAACGCAATAATAATTTAAAGTTCGCTAGCTCCTTCAGACTGCGGCGGAACCCACTGGTCCTCTAATTAGTAGCGCGTAATTAAGCGTGCATGAGCACCTTATTAACGATAATACTTATTTTTTTCACTAATATACTGCCCAATACCCGTTTTAACGAAAGTGTACGATCGTTTTTCCGGAAAAAAAAATACGATGTTTTAGATCGGAAATCCAAAAAAAGAGTACGAATCGCGTATGATGGATTTCAATTTTGAAATCATATTACGATTCTTCGTTTTTATTACTTGGTCACGTTGGAATCATTATTTTCTAAATTTTCCTTATAATGTATGTTTGCATTCTTAATATTAACTAGAGTTGGATGTATTTCATATATATATATATATACCGGTGAGTTACTGGTATTTTTTAACGAAAAATATGGTTACCTGGGCAAAACTATGATTAAGAATATAAAATAAAAGTAGGTAGCGATATTTTTCAGGAATCTAAATACCTTTTAAAACGTTAAAACGTATTATACAGAAATAAATACAAATAAGAAAAAGTTTAAAAAACTCATGTTATTCTTAATACAGCTTGTAAAGTTACTAAAATGGCAACACTGCCAATCGGTAGTTTTTAAACTCACCCTTTAATTAAAGGTATTTAATAAATTATCGTTTTTCATCGGTGGACGGTATTTACCGAAGAGACGGTATTTAACGGAAAATACCGTAAACACATACTAATTACCGTTTCTCATTACCATCAGCACAAATATTAAACTATAGCTATAGTTTAACACGCATTTGGACTTAACTCAAAAATATTGTCTGTTTTAACTTTAGGAATTTCGTTTTTTCGTTTTGATCAAATTTCACGATTCTGCGATAAATACCACTTGCGACGGTAACACGGGACTACTATATGTTTTTTTACGATAGATAGTTGATACACTTTCATTTTTTAAAAAAAAAATGTCGTGAAACTTGCTTATAATACTCAACCCTTTTGAATGGTGGTCGGTGTATGGGCCTGGATTCTGCGTAGTTACCTGCCTATACATAATATGCAAATATTCTGATGTATATATGTGTGTTCTGTTTAACATTTTACACGCATATACCTATAGTAGGTATATCCTTTGCCAAACAATATTCTTTTGTTACAACGTTATATAAGTAATTAATTATACTCCGTGTAAACAAAAACGGTGACGGGGAAGGGGAGAGGAAATCGGTTGTAGGAAAAAAAAAGAAGCGCATATTTAATAATGGAACACCTCTACAATGATTTTTATTTCCAAACACCGCGTTGTAAAATGTTAATATATTATAGGGTGATATTTGTATACCGCGACGTGACGGTGCGGAGCGTTGGCGGTTCTTGCCCTGGAAAATTATTTTAATTCGAATATTATACAGTCAGGTATAAAACGCACGTGGCACGCGTTCGTTGATATTATGTAGAACAATAATAATATTATTATACACTATGCACAACGCCTGTGTCTATAGCATGTAAACATTTTGATATTTTAGAGCTGATTAAACTATTAATGTTATTATTATTATTATTGATATTAGGTATTAAGTTACACAAAAGTTTTGTTACTACGACGCATGACTCAAAATTTGGGCGGTAGACAAAAAAGTAGAACATGGAATGAGTGTTGTATAGGTGAAAGTGACGAGAGAAGATAGGGCAAGGAGTGAGTACATGAGAGATAGCTTGAACAGTAAACAAAATGCGAGGAAATAGACTGAGATCCGTAGTTTTACCAAAGGCATTATTTTAATAAGCGTTGTCGGGATATTTTGACGACAAGGTTCGTCAATATGGCAATCTGATATCATAAATTTGGCTCGGAAAGTACATATTTGCTTCATATGTGCCAAATTGAAGCTTATTTTTTAAAAGCATTTTTTTTTTTAAATTTAAGCAATTTTTTAAGCTTTTGGCACTCAGCTGGATTCTGGAAAAAAAAAGCTATACAATGATTAAATTTCCTAATAAAACCCTATTAATTGTTTACATTTTAAATTTGTCTGATTTGATGGTTGAAAAATAAAGCAAATAGTTATTTTTTTATTATTTCAATTTTTTATGAACGTTTCTTGTTTCTCTTGAAAAATCGGGTTTTGGCACACGATCGGTGTGATTGTGATGACGACTAGTGTTATTACATTAATATTTATGGAGTTAGCTTTTTGGAGATGTCTTGTAAATGTTCCTTTTGAAGATCAATTTACTACCAATTTACCTAATTGTCTGTATTTATTCCACAATTTATCATACAATTATTAATCGTCCTTGATGAAACTACAGCAGGGAAATCAAACATTGTTTGTTTGTGAAAAAACACCCGTTGTTTGTCACGCATCACAATAATAATATGAAAAACGCAGCTGGTCTATTTATTGGGTCTATACGTTTTTCTATGACTACTACAGTTGTGGCACATTAATAATTATGGTAATCGTCATCATATCAGACGTCGGTGGCTACTGTACTATAATAATAATTATGTAGCCACAAATCAACGTCCAGAAAACGTCTGGTTCACGATAAAAAAAAATCACTCTGTACATAATATATTATTACACAAACAAAATACATTAAACCTAATAATATAAAAATCTAACGAACTAGTGGCATGTATAGTAACGTGCCGGACATCAGCGTTCGCATATTGGGCAAGTATTACCTTATCTTTCGCATTTTTGTTGCAAATAAAAATATAAATATTATGTACAATAATAACTATTTTTCCTCGTCCATGGAACAATTTCTTGGTGCCAGTGAAGTGATGAACTTATTTACCTTAGAAATCACGATTTTCATATATTACCACCCAAAGATAGGCATTAATTAGGTAAAACTATTACTATAACTATTGCTGTTAATAAAACATAAATTAGTTAGTTGCTAAATTATTATGAGTGAGACATGCAAAGAAATTAATCTAAGTGAGAAAAAAAAATTATATTGTAAAAATCATATTTTTTAAAAGTCGAAATATACTGTTTTTTTCAATTAGGTTTTTTTTGTACCTAAATCCAGCGTCAGAATATCATGAAATCAGTTATTTTATTGCATAACATAATATTATACAAAATTGTATTTGTCAGTTAAAAAAACAACGGCAACTAATATGATGCCCATACTATCTGTACTTTATCCAATGATTTGTACGCATTTACTCATGAGTGTCACATTTAAAACTCAAATTCAATTTTGAACTACAGTAAATATAATAATTTTCAACAACTATGATATAAAAAGGTAAATAATAGAACTATATTAAGTACTCTGAAGTCTTGAACATCTGATGTTTTAAAGTAAAAAAAAAATTAACTTTGTTTAAATTTATTTTTTGTTAATTTTGAACTTTTAACTAAGGGATTTTTTTTTTGTTTATTTAACTTAATCGAGCTAAGTAATTTCATTAATTTAAATAACATTTTTACCGCACAAACCATTTATTTTATTTAAATACTTAAATACATCAACTAATACTTTACAAAATCCATAGATATTATTATGATGTATATTAAAGTTCCCTTTTTAATTAAGAAGACGTAACGTATGTGTTTACTATCTTAGTAAAACTAACGAGCGACATAAATTAAAATTGCATAACTTGAACTTAAAATTATGGCGTTTTGATGGAAATTAATATTTGAACAACACGGTAGCAAAATTTAAATTTATTAAATATTTCTTTTTTCTAAAATATTGCCAAACAAAAATGATACAGCTATTTCTTATGAATATAATACGAATGTCCGATCGATATGGAACAGACATATACAGTGATATAATACAATATTATAGTATGTCGGTATTTTTGTTCACAGATATGTGGCCGAAATTAACATTATTTATCGGACTCGTAGCGTTTCGATTGCTGACGGCGTCCGGGAACCCCGACGCCAAAAGACTTTACGACGATCTGCTGTCCAGTTACAACAAACTTGTCAGACCTGTGGTGAACACCAGCGATGTTCTCCGGGTATCCATAAAACTCAAGTTGTCACAACTTATCGATGTGGTACGTAAAAATAAACTTCTTGTATCCCTTTTATTTGTTTCATAAAATCTATACAATAGTGCATTATAATAAGCATAAGCGATAGTTCAGAAATGACATGACATGGAGGCTTAAGAGAAGAAACTGCCCATTGGCAACACTCCGACTTGTACCAATAATATTATAATGATAACCATAGGTGCTCTCAAATTGTTGGGGCCAGCTACTTTTATAGCGTTTTTCATCTTACTATACTACACTAAATGCGGTCAATAATACCACACTCCCATAAACGTGTTCAGAATTCGAAGGGTAAGCTAATAAAAATAGCAGTTTTATACCGTTATTTCCGGCACAGGGCTACTTCGGCTTTAAACTCCCCTCCCCCTTTAAAAAAAAAGATAGATAATGCAAAATACCAATTCATTCATAAATCATATTGTTTACTATCTATGTACTTGTTTTACGAAAACAGTATTATACATCTCAACATACAGGTAACCACGAAAAAATAACTCGCAATCTATTTATAATAAATTATTTCATGAATAAAAATTAAAAAAACTTTATGTTATCCCTAATACCTCGCACTCGAGACAATGGTAAGTACTAGCATAGTAGATAATTATAACGGTTATAGTTATAGTTATAGTTATAGTTTGATAATAGTTGATCACAATTATAAAATTAAATCACTGATCAAAAAGGCGCTAAAATAATACTTACTTATTAAATATAATTTACTACGTCACACCGTCAATATATATGGGTTTTTACTCCAGTATATATATATATACGATTGTACTGCATCAATGTATAGAATTTGCGTAATCTACTATACTGGTGATGGTAAGCGATAGTATAGACATCGTACACGAGTGCAATCAGATGGAAAACGTTATTATTCTTCTTATCTCATACGGGTAGTATAGGGTCAGCTACTTTTATTATTTAAGCTCTTAATATTCCTTATAAAAATAAAACCTTGCAATTTTTTTTTTAGTCCACCCCTATTATGTTTCCGTCCACATTTTTATATCTCGCCGGTCTTCTTTCTCATCCTTTTTCAACACGTCCTTAATATACTCTCTCTCCGCATTTATCCTTCCGTGCATTTCATTACTACTCCTAGACTAACATTCCTGTCGCATAGTATTGTCCAATCAGGTAAAGCCATTCAAATCGGTTTAGGTCCTTAATTACAACGGTTACGTGAAATTTTCCTCCTGGGTGAACGCACGTATGAGATAATATTAAATTGTTTTTAAACCCATTACAACAATTTTTTTTTGTTAAGTAAATCAAATCACTTTATTCTATTTATAGGTTCGTTATTATATTATTAAAGTAATAAAAAGCATTTTTTGTTGTTCTTTTCTTTTCTTTGCTTTGTTGTTGATTAAGATTGCTTTTTTATGAAAATAATGTATCGTCCAACCTTTAATATAATATTATAATATTGACATATTTTCACCTCAAAATTAAAATATACATTATACGGTGAAAAATAACAAAAAATGAACGATGAAAAAATGTATTATATATATATATATATTTACCTTTTCGTTTTTGTTATGAAACTTCGGTAAACAAACTGTTCATTCTGTTCGCGTATACAATTAAAATGACACAAAGATATTAATCACCAGTAAAAAAATTAATTCTATATATATATGTATAAACAGAGAAAAATTATTATTAAATAATAAACGATATTGTTTAATGTAATTTTTGAATATCATAATAGGTATATAATGGGTAAAAATAATTAACACATCGTTTAAACAACAATTAATATTTTAAATGACAACCTTACTGAAAATCATATAAAATTTAAAAAATGCACGAGTACCTATAATAATGTTATCAATATTTCACAAATTCAATAAAAACTGTAATGAGAAATAAACATGTTGTAAACACGAAAATATAAAGTTCGCATATTATGAGTATTTATGTCGTACAAAACTGGATTAAGTACTGTTTATAATTTATATGTACAACATGCATGGGTAGTGGGTATTATAAAATGGATTTAAAAAGTCAAAAGTTATAAGAAGAAACTTCTGTTTTATAACATGAAAATATCTGTTTTACATTGGCAAAACGAACGCAAATATAATTCATAAGACTATTTTGCTTAAAATAGTTCGTTTCTCGCTCCTCTATCAGCATACACAATTATGAACTCCGAGACGTGGTGGATTCAGGATTTAATTTTTTGTAGAAGTCATAGTCACAAATTCAGTGATCATTTTGGAGGATTTATTTCCTTATTCACAATAATTTAAACTTTGGTTATAGTCTTTATGTTGTTGTTGAAAACCTTCGAGCTTGTAAATCATTTCGATCAAATCTCCCTACCCCAAACTAATTTTATTTTTAGGCTCTGTATTGATTATTGCAATGACAATTTTTAAATTTTTTCGCCTCTGTGATCATTAAATTGTTTGTCGTACAAACTAATTAGTTTTTGTAATTTTAAATCATTACGAAACGATTGTGTCATTCGAACTACAATACCTGATTTGGTATTTTCAACGAAATGCGTGTACCTAGTAATAACTAAATACATTTAGATATCAACTGCAGACCCAACGATACGATCGTGTCTGACGCCCTTGTCCCACGACATACCGCTATCAGACGTTAACAATGTGACGGGCGCCTTAAAATTAGCACAAAAACAACTAGGTCCTATTATATAGCAGTACTTGCACTCGGGCGTTTTCGGATTTAATTTCGGACGCACGGCCGTATAATGCATTTCTAGACGTAATATTATAATCTCCCACCGGCGTCGACTGCGGGGTCCAAAGACCAAAAGGTATTATCCGAGGACTAGACGATTGTCGATTTCACCGCGGGAAATTATCGGTCGTGGCAACAGTACAGGTACCTACCCGAGACCGCGTATTCCACAAAAACACTTATCTCAAGCGCAAACGTTAAATTCCGTTTAAATTAAACCGACTCGCTTATTATTGTTATCGTCGTACAGTGAAGTGCACAAAGATGGGACGTCACGGGTTATATCCCTTCCTTCTATTGCTTTAAGAATATTTTTGAAACCTTTTGACTCCAGTGATTTTATCTAAAAATTATATATTTCTGTGAGCTGAAAAGCATAGTTAATGAATTCAAATTGACATTTTTGAATCCGTTTTTTAAATTCTTATCGTTACGGTTTAGGTATAACAGGCTGTGATTCTACGATTATCACTCACACACATCCACTCTGTTTTTGACGCCTTCCTTTCAACACCATTATCGTTGCATAGTGGATACCAATGTATAAAAAAAACCGCCGAGATATTTGATAGAATAATATAATATCCGAAATAACTGTTTAAACTATTCATGCATTATGGTGTGTTTTAAGTGTAAGTGAATTATGTCGACCGAAACATAATATAAAATTTTAAGCGACGCTATAATAGTATAGTGATTTAAAGTTGTTAACAAAACATAACATAATACAGAGGCGCGTCTAAGAATTTTTAATGGGAGTGTAGGTAATAAATAATAATTATGAATAAATCATAGAAACTTCTATAAGTACCTAACCAGACTGTGGGAATTTAAATGACGATTCCAAAAAAGCCAATTTGTAATTTCCATTCAACGAATCAAAGATTTCCTTGTAACTTGGCTGAAAAAAAAATTAGATAACTAAATAATAATTGTATTTTTAAGCCGATTGTGAACGGAGATGTAACTACTGACAACCACTCCCTACGCATGCCATCGATATAGGTATTATAATTATTTACACCAATCATAACGCATATTTATGGTTATTGATAATTCACTTTATACGTACAATATATTTATACGATTATTAATACAAATATTGATAAACCGAAAATAAATTAAAAAATACAAATTTATAATCCGTGAATAAAAAAAAAAAAATTAAATTAAAAAAAAGAATTGTAATACTTTTAATAACATTATACCGGAGAGTGGCTGTTATACGGTAATCATTTAATCCTCGGGAACGCTCGGCGAGCAGTGTTTACCTTATCAGAAAATTATTTTATACAGTCGAGTGGATATCTCCCACCTACCTACCTACCTACTTATAATTTTATGTTGAGTTTCTCGAGATAATAAACCGCGTTCCAGCGTCCATGTGATAAAACAAAAAGTGTAATTATTGTAAAAAAAAGTTATACGAACTTAATTTTTCCGTTTGATATTATCAAAATTCGCAGACTATTTTTTTTTTTTTTTTTTTTTTAAATACGAAAAAATAATAATACGATTTTTATTACTCTCCGTGTTATTCGACGAATAGTCCCAAATGGTTACGAACCTTATACGGCTACAAAATAGAAAATATTTCAAGTTTTCAATTTCCATATGCGTGATATACTTTATATAGTTTCCGCCGCAGATATATAATAAAAGAGGTTTTCATTACATCGAACCATCACATAAAAAAAAAATATATACGTCGAGCGTATAGTACATTTTACGAGCTCTTTTTAAACGGAAAAAACGTTGCCACCTACTAAAAAAAAAAAAAACGGAACAGAACAGAATAGATTTTTTTTTACGTATTTTTTATCTGGTAAAAACCCATATACATATAGTGGATAGAATACGAAACTATCCATCCTCTCCGCTACTTACCCTCCGTCGCCGACGCCTAAACCCGATCAAATTCGACTATTTCTTTTCAGTGTCCAGCCTCGTCCGTAGCAGCAGTCTCGGTCTGTTATTTATTGATCGGCGTTGAAAAGCTGAGCTTGCATACCCATTATCATCGCTAGCGGACCGTCCGCCTTTCGAATCCTTCAAAATGAGTGTCCTGTATCATATTATATATAAAATGTGTCGAGCCTTTAAATAATTCAGAAACGCGCCCGCAAATATCGCGTAAATGCGGAACAATGAAACCTTATTATATTATTATCTGTCTTATTGTCTGATTTTCTGAAGTAGAACGATAAATAACGGCTCATCGCAAAAGTTTAACGCCGTTAATCGTCATTGATCGTTAACATTTTTTTCTTTGGACGATTTGGATGATATTTTTTCACAAAAAATAGATACCCGTCCAAGGTTTAACTTGAACTCAATAATTACAATTAATTTAAATACCTTGACATCGCACACAAATGGCAAATTCCATACGATTGTTGAGAAATTTTCCCCCAAAATAGAACTCAATTTTACTGTATATTGTATCTGTTATATTTGATCTTTTTGAAAAAGGACTCAACTAGAGTTTGTATAGTTTTCAGTACAAGAAAAGTAAATTTCAAAAAGATATGGATATACTTCTCATAATTGGTGGAACACTGTTGTAGGTGAGAAGTTGGACAGGTCAAGGGAAAATTCAATGTATATATACGCAACGATTAACCATTGTTAATGAAAAATCGATTATGGGTGGAGTTCGGTTATTAGTATTGCCTTGTAATATTTTTTAAATTAGGCCGAACATTTACGAACTTTTTACTTTGGACACCCGAATAGTCTCCCCAAATAAAGCTAGAGGGATGAAATGTTGTATATGCATCCAGTTAGTATCATGAATGCGGCTTTTTTGGCATTTTGAGGTCACAACTTTCAATCCACGCCTCTTCAATTTGTACGCATAAACTTTAATTATTTATTTGGATATAATACAGTTGAAGTACTTATCGAATAGTATTCTAATTTTTAGATATTATTCGATTATTTATTCTTTAACATAGAATAATTCCATAATACAAAACTTAGGAGACATTAGTAGAGCAGATTTGTTGAACGTGACTGTAATTCAGGTCCTTGAACATTTTTTCGGTTAATAAATATACTCCAAAACACCATGAGTATAAACGATGTGAATTTTCTACCCGTCCGTACTGTCTATTTGAAAAATTGTTTTACGATTCCGAACGTTTTCCATTTTCTGGTCATTTTTAAATCCGGACCCTTTATTATTCAATTATAAACTTTCTTTTTCTTCTCGTCGTAATTATTTTGTGCCATAAAATATAATCAACATTTTTTGAAGCACATTTTGTAATAATAATATTATTATTGTTATTAATTAAAATAACCAATGTATTTATCAGTATCTATAATAAATTTCTATCGGTCTAGGACAAGATATCAAATATTAAAATATTGTATTTTCTTAACGCAGTACGAAAGATACCTCGTCCCTGAAATACCTATTATGTTATTATAATAATACTAATACCTATACAAAATGCAATATTATAATGTTTTGTATAATCCAAAAAAACCGTGTTATAAATGTGCATAAAGGTTGAGTTACTTCGATAACAGTAGGCATAGTGGGGGTGGGGGAAAGCGCAGAAGAAAGGAGTCATTCTCCTTATTTAAAGTAAAATAATCAGTTGCCTTTAAGTATTCGAAAATGAAATTTTGATAACATTTTAAAATCTAGTTTTAGTTTTATTAAAAGTTAACTCTTAAGTAACTATCAGGCTACTCGTAATTAGACATCGTTTATCTTTATTTTTACTGAAAAGTTATGTTTGTAGCATAACATTAGAGGAGAGGGGGATATTGTCTATTTTTAAACCATCTTAGTATGGCATTAGTATAAGGAAATGAGTGTGAGAGAAATTTTTTTTGAAAATCTTGTCCTCATTCTTGATGTGTTTCTTGAATATTTGGTTAAGTGAAGTTAGTTCTCGGGAATGCACCTCAATTTTCGGTAAATTTGATCCTCCTTCGAAGTTCCCCCCCCCCTTTAACTGCTGCCTGAAATATAATAATATAATACTATTTAGTAATATTGCAATGTTATTATTGTTATTTGATTTATTGAACATCTACCTATAGCCCGCAGAACCAAATAATTGTTACGACGTAATATATTATTGGTCATAACGTACCGCAAACTAAAACTTATAATAGAATTATTACTTTTTGGTAGGTAGTTTTGCACGACCACCGTTCGAAACATTCTACGAGTAACAACCGAAATAATATTACCTACTCTTATAATTAATAAATAAGACTATACCTGTTTACACGATAATAATATTTTGTAGACCGGATTGTAATCAATAATCATTATTATGTTATTTCAAATACAAGTAAGATGATAGAATTAAAAGAAAAAAAAAAATGATTTATCTATGCAAAACTTTCTAGAAACGTACATTGTAGATTCTGAGTGTAGAGAAGAATGCATATGATTTAATTTTTAATTTTTTTTTTTATACTGTGTACAAAAATTCTACCAGAGATCTTACTTCAAACTATAAATACTACAAATATAGTACATTTTCTAAAAGAAAAATTTTCCTGGGGTGGTATTTCAAGTCTTTTTTTTTGATTTTCCAAGTAGTTTTCTCAAAAAATGGGAAAAAAAAACAGGAAAACATATAAAATGTATTAATAAAATAATATGGTTTTTTTTTTCTTGTCACAACTTTCTACCAGAAATTTTGCTTCGATTTACAATGATAGCAATTTTTATAAATAGAAATACGATTGAGTAGGTACATTAAAGGGATCGTTTTATAACTTTCCCAGAAGTTTTCCAATAAATGAGAAAACTGAGAAAAAAACACGAAAAAAATAGGAAAATTATCAGAATGTTAAACAAAAATCGCAAAAGATAATATATGCCCGGAGAAAAAATTCCCGAAACATTTTACTATGGTTATCTCATCTGAATCAGCCGGATTCGAATGATCTCTGACTTTTTGGTTATTTTGATAAATAAGAAAAAATATGCTTTTTACCCCATTTCTTGCATTGTATTATGCATATATAACTATTTGACCACAATTTGATGTGTCATATATATAACACTAATAACCGAACTCCTTTCAGAATTGGTTTTTCTTTAGCATTTCGGTAAATCTTTGCATATAGGTATATATTAAATTTTCTCTCTACTATCCCAACTTCTCAACTTTTTAACAGCGGCCCATCCTCCTGTGAATCATATCCGTCTTTTTAAATGTTACAGTGTCCAATATCCTAGATAATTAATTTTTATGTTTGGGCAGGGAGAGAGTAGTGGAACATTATGTTCAAACACCACTATATGATAAACAATTCAATTTCATATTTTATTGTTATGAAGTACACAAAATAAATTCTATTCATTTTATACAATAATGCGCGTTACTACTTTAACGAATTTGCAATTATGTTACCTATGTACATTATTAAATCATAACTGTTACAGGATCTTTAATATAATAATATATACGAGTATAATATGACGTGTAGGAACGATTTCTAAGAAATTTCGAAACAATAAACAAGATCTAAAAAGTTATTTACCTCTACAGTTATAATAAAATGATACGTTTGTTATATTATAATATGAAAGAGTGCACACGTCATAAAATGGTATTTGTTCAGAATATCAGAATATTAAATTATTTATGTACATTTTACGGTTTTTTTTTTTTTTTTTGTTGCAATGGTGGGAAGAACAATATAAGTCCGATTGTTATGGGAGCTATAGATAAAATGAAATTGTCTAAATTCAAATTTTATGTACAAAAGTCTAAACTCTTTTTTCTTTTCCTGGACAATTTTAAAAGGTGGACTCATCTGATTTTTTCAAGATATCAAGTGCTTTGCTAAACATATTTCAGTATTTTTAATTAATTTTCAATAGACAACAATACTCGATAACATGTAATTATATAGTATCACACATAGGGATAGAGAAAAATAAAATGATTACATTTTTTTATTTTTATTTATATATTTAATTGCACATTTAATGTTCAATTTAAGAATTTCCACTCTGAACAACTCGTAGATACGATTATGATTACATTATAATATTAGATCTCAAAATAACGTATACTGAACATTTCCAAGACACGAGTTTTGTTTCAATGAAATGTTTAATTTTTAAGTTTTTATGATTTGAATTTGAATATTATAAAGTTAATCGTATTTTCCTCCAGTCTTTTTTTTAATGATAAAATTAAAAAAAAAAAAAAAAAACCAAACCATAAACTGATGTTTTCATAAGGTCCTAACTCCCCTAATAACAATGGGAGTTCTGCAGTATTACAACGAAATTTGCAAAATAATGCGTACGGTGTAATACAATTTACGAAAATGGAAAACGTTCATTATTGCGCATATAAAATACGTGTGCACATAAAAACGTAGACATAGTGAAAACCATCATTAAAAGTTTTAATTATAAAGTGAAAAGTATCTTCATTTCATAGAGATATAATATGTATTTGAGGTTTAAGTTTTAATACAGTTTATTTTGGCGATTCGGGTTTAATGTCGTGAGGGCTAGGTAGCGGGGCAAAAAAATAATCAAACGCAGTATTTAACAGCGTTTCGTTAAAATTGACCGGTAAAAATAATATAAATCGATAATTTTTTTTTTTTTTATATTTTATCAAACTAGACATTATTTTAAGGAACCATTAATGTCCAACGTAATCTTGTGAGATTTTCCACGAGATTTGCACTATTATTACTTTTTAATAATAATTGAGTCAGTAATAGTAGATGGAAGATTGGCAAGGTATCTTATAGCAGGATCTAATATAGGATTAATGTTTTTATATTTCTATGCAACGTTATCGAAAAACATTTCTGAGAGAAATAAAATACGTTTTATTAACTATACATAATAAATTCCAATTGTCCGTATTTTTAGCATCAAATTTATTGAATCTGAGTGGAGCGAAGAATGAATTAGTTTTACAATAATATTTAAAAAAATTTTTTTTTTTTTTTTCGTGAACAACTTTTACCAGAAATTTTAATCCGATTTTAATAGTAATTATTTCTGATAGAAAATTTAACTAGCGTGATACTCTAGGGAGTTCGTTTTTGATTTTCCAATGGTTTTCATAATAAATGGGAAAAATCGGGAAAAACGTACGGAGAACGAGAAAATGTATGATGTGTATTATTTTAAAATAGTAAATCTTGATATTATGGCCTTCCAAAACATGTATAACCCAACTCTACTTTGCTTTATTGATTTTCTGTCTTTCAACATAAAATCTTGCTTCAATCGTCATCATCGAGAATAAATTGTGGTTACGAAATGATGTGATGAAAGGATCGATGTGGTTATTTTCTAGTGATTTTCATAATAATTAGAGACAACAAAAATATGTTGAATTATTTTGTGTATAGATATTTTTTTTTCATATTTGAGTTTAATTCGAGTTTATTACATTTTTATTTGGTTTTATGTGAATTATTATTTTATCAGCGTTTTATGTTCGAATTTAAGTGATAAATCAATTCGTTAAAAACACAAACAATAAGTAGAATCATTTATAAAATTAATCAAATTTTCAATAAAAATTAATCGAAAAACGGTTAGCTGATGTCCGCTCAGAATCGTTTTCTGGTCATAATGGTTTATTGTTGCCCACATATATAATAAATTAAATAACCCTATATAACAATTTACCTTCCTGAACTTCAATTTACAGCGAAAAAGTAGCCAACTTCAGAGGAATATCATGTACGAGAAACATAGTGATAATGTACACCATCAGTAATGGACTCGAGGTCGGTTAAAGCCCAGGGTTCAAATTTGAAAATGATTCCTCTGTATTAAAATTATAAGTAAATTTGTGTATTGTAAACATTTTTTATTAAAAAATTACACAAATCAATGGTGACACAATTAAATCCGCAGGGCATGTGTCCATTGCCACCCTCTCCACCACTCTTAATCCGGCCTTGAATGAAGCGACTTCTTTTATAATTTATGCGAATCCGAATATCGGCGCCCGATTTCCGTAGAACGTTTCTTGGTATATAATATTCGCATTGTGTCCAGGTTTACACATATTTTACCCCGTGTAAGTTCCAAAACTTTGTTACACACGTTAGGAGTTATAAACGGCTTTTTACGACTTTCCGGGACATTGATTATTTTTCAAAACTCGATTTTAGTATTTTGTAATATTTTTTTCGTATAGTTCACGAGAGATATTTACCAATAAATAGTTCGCTTTCACGAGTTGTTTTTTTGTTTTTTTTTTTTGTTTTTGTTCGGTATTCTATACGACCGCGATAAATTCTACTGTTTTTTTTTTTATTTCTTTTTTTGTGAACGTAACACTCGTTTAAACTTCTTCAGTGCATAATAGTGGGTACCTATAAAAACTTTGTGAAACACAGAAAAAAAAAATATAAACGATAAAATATTTTAATTCCGATCCAGGACAGAGTAATTAAGAAAAAAAAAACCTAAATAGAGAATACAAAATAACATACCAAAATAACAATAATAATATCGTGCTGTGCGTTTAAAACTACGCCGGTCCTGAGTTCACTTTTTAAAATGTTTTTATTATTACTACATTTTTTATTCAAGCACGGACACTGGTGGACACTGCAGTGCATTATTTCTATTCAATACTCCACCACTATTGTTTGGTATTATTATTATTATTATTAGATTCTGACCGGAGCGAGCAATGTGTTTTTTTTTTTTTAATTCCAAATACTATTTTAATGCTTCCATTAGTATATATATACATGCGTGTGGCAAAAAAAAAAAAAATGTGCATACATCATAATATTGTACGGTTACGATCGCTAACAAAAATAATTATTGGTCGAATCATCAAGGTTTATTTTAGTCGTTTTTTTTTTAGATTCCGTAAAACACGGAATATAATGGTCTTGTTCTAAATTTGTTTTTGTGCTATAAACAACTTTTATATCGAAATTCTAGAACCAGTCGAAACCTTCATAAGCAATTTCTTATTGCATTTTTCCTCTATTATCAAGGAGGTCGTTTTTGTCGAATTTCCCACGAAAATAGAAACTATTGCGGTGTATTTTGTCTGCTATGTATATATACACTAATTTCTAAGTTTGAAGTCTTTTGGTTGATAGGACGTCACTAAAATAATGTATATAATTATATCTTTTCTCCAGTACATTTGGACTCTCTTAGCAGATCCTTCTAGACCAAAACAGGTCAAAAATGAAAATTATAGTTTTTTTTTTTTTTTTTTTTAAAATGGATTGAAGTGATGCGGGAAGAGGGGAGGGGGTTAACTTTGTGCATCCCCATGCAGCCCTCCTGAATGAAGCCAGAGGATAACATTTTGTAAATATATGCGTTAAGTATTAATGATGTGTATTTTAGTGGTTTCAACTTTCAACCTACTCCCCAACCATTTTTATACTCAGATTTCATGTTTTCAGAGGAAATACCGGGTTTTCAATTTTCATCGTACATATTCGTGAAATATTTTAACGGTAACAAGTCAGTTGAAGGCAATTTAACTCTGCTGACAAAAATCGGCTACTGCTTTTTTTTTTTTTTTTAATTTCGTTGATGTGGTTTTTAATAAATGGGAAAATCTGGTCTTGTATTATATAATTTGTATTATTTTTGAATTTCCAAGATAACAAAGGAAAAAATACGACTAATTATACCCTGCTCAGAATCGTTTTTCATTAGTAACGGTTGATAGTTGCACATAATAACAAATTGAATTACTCTATATGTCCCCCCTTTGAAATTCCCTCCTTAAATAGTAGCATATCCATCAGCCATATCAGACTTTTATATCTCTTTTTATCGCATTTGTAAATAAAATGTATAAGTATATAAATATTAAGTACATATATATATTTTAAACATATTCAACACAAGACAACTTTTCGTATTAAACTTTATTCCTCTAAGGGTAATTAGTTTTTCGAAATCGTCCGATAATTTGAATCCACTATGTAAGACAATGGATTATTCAAACAACCGGCTGGATATAAGTATACTCCTGCATTTTACGAGCTCCCTGGCATTCGTGACGGCCTCTGTACACGTGATTTACGAGTGTAAAAGGAAATACAATAATATCCGCTCCGTTATACCGTAACTGTCGTCATATAATTAAAATAATGCTTACTACGGTTGTATATTATTATTTTCTAAGTCAAATAATTGGAAAACAAAAAAAATCCCACCACTAATAAATAGCAGGTACAAATAGTGAACAAATTATAAGGCTAATAAAAACTTTGATTTTATGCCACGCAGTTGAAGGTGATTTTTTTTATCAAAGCTATTTTCTTACTGCAGTTATTTACAAAGGATTTATTTTTCAAATGAGATCTCAGTACCTATTCAAATAATATTTGTCGTCTTATTAAATATAGGGATAGAAGCAACTGCACGTGTATTTTTAAAGCGAGGCGAGAGGCCCATTTTTTCCCCTTACTCTATACAATTTGTCATATTTATTTCGGAAATATCTATACAGGCATTATCTGTTATAATTGTATGAGTCCTAATTTTAAAACAAATCATTGTCTTATCAAATAAATATTTATTTGTATATACCCCCTCTTATTCCCCCATAAAATTGATTTAAAGATACCTCTAACCAGCGGTTGATTATTATAATAAATTAGCATCTACTCGTGAAGACTCATGTCATAAGAAGATTAATTCAATTAATGTTACTATATAAAAATATCAAATTCATTCGAGTGCGTATAATGAATTTATCATAAAACTTAAGGCGGATACTGAAATAACATTAAGTATCGTGGAATTTGAGAATTGCATCCAAGTATATTATAAATGCTCACTTATGTGAAATTTCTCAAAAAGAATATTCTCCAATACGCCATTACAAAATTATCGTAATACCTTCATTCACCCTCTATACAAAATTCCATACCATATTGCCCAGGACAATAACAATATTTATATCATATTATTAAACGAACATTATCAACATTAACATATTATCAACAATTACAATATTATGAACAGGAAAGAGAAAAGACGAAATCACACAAAACATCAAAACGCTTCTACTAGAATTACAATAATTTAAGAAAACAATGTTAAGCAAAAAAAAAAAAAATATAAGACGATCTAAAATTACCCGAAGTAGAAGTACGGCTTATATAAAAAAAAGAAAAAGCTGTGCAAAATACGGGAAGTGGTTATTTTGATTAGTCTCATTATTTTTGATCTTTTGGGAGTATAATAACATAATATATTATAAAGAATTCTACGTCATAATGGTCTTCCGTGTAAATTACAAAGAACTAATTCATTTTATGTCACTTGCTTGATGATGGTGATCCCGAGAGGTGACCACTTAAAAAAAAGGAGAAGCAAACGTTTTTAAACTTAAATGTAAACAATATTTTCAAAGAAGAACTCATCAAAAATGAGTTTATATGATAAATAAACCAAACAAAAAATGATTAAGTATTGTATGTACAAGTCTTTATTCACTATTTGTTTTTTTCTGCGTGATAAATGCATTTGTCTTTGTCTCAACACCACCAAATGTTCTTGAAAGTTTTTTAAAATTCAGTTTTTTTTTTTTTTTTTTTAACTCCGTTTTGATCATGTATGATAAATAGTATTGTTAAACATCATATTTATAAAACCTTGTGACGTGAATTTTTTTTAGGCTTACTTCGTTTACCACTACCACCACCATTACATCTTATCAACATTTTATCAGGACTTATTAATTATTATAAGTAAATTATTTTGAACTCACTGTTATACGGTTCTATACGTAATTTTATGCCCCGACCGCCCGCCAATTTCGATAAATGCACAACAAGGGTCTGAAAACACAACGCAGCAACTGTAATCTGCAGTCTAAAACGAAAATATTATTCATTAATTTATACTAACCGCAGGTAATTCATTAGTATTTCTTTTAACAATCCAAAATTATTATGTCTCTTCTCTGACAGAATTTTGTTTGTAAATACACACCTACATACCGCACAAGACAAATTACCCTAATGCCCTTTTGTTTTATCTATTCATCACATATATAATGGGGAGGTATATATATATATATATATATATGTTTAAAGAAACCCGTGAATATTATAGCAACGCGGTATACGTAGGTACAACACTTTTCCACTTCCGGATACAAGCTGCTCGGTTAGAACTTTTAGTTAATGGAATAATATTACACTACCTATAAGACATAAACGTACATAATGCACGTCCGATTAAAACGGTAGAAACTGTATTGTTATATCAAATCACTCTTTTCAACGAAAACGACTCTCGCAACGTGTATTTTTTCAATTTCATTCGTCGTAAGTAAATAAACGGTCCATATATTCGTATCGCATACATATAGGTACTTCACATGAAGAGTTTTTTTGTAGAAAATTATATGGATATTTTGATTTTATAGTTTCAAGGAAAACGAAAAATCTATTAGTTTTACAATCGCGTATGTGTGTGTGTGTGTGTGTGCAGTGATGACGCGAAGTATTTTTACCTTATATTACAGATTTAATATTCTACCCACGCCAGCCTAAAAATATTCTATTCTCTACTATACGAATCTACACGAATCGATAACAAATATTTTTAACATTCGCCTAACTATATATTGACGTTTAGAGTATTTGGTAAATATTTAGTGGATATTCAATTTTCGGCGAATGGCCCGTGTGTGTAGACCGGCACGATGGCGTTTAGGCAAACAACACCCACGGGAAACTAGTAAAACGGTGTCGAATAAGCGCGGAGGGATCTTGTGGAAGTTCTCAATTATATTATATTATGATATGGTAGTGTAACCTATGTATACACTTTGGTACTATAGTATAGTATAACATATGGTATGTACAACACGATATATATTATTATATAGGTACTTGTGCGCCATTTTGGTCACACTGGTCTCAGGCCGGTTTTCCCGTGAGGCGATAAAAATAGAACACTTTTGATTCGTGACCTTCCATCCTGCGACGATTCCATAACTCTATCCTATTGACCAAAGACTCTTGACACGTAAAGATTTTAGTGGAATAATATTATGTTAAAGGTTACTGCGAATATTGACATAAATAATTTCTCCCCCGATGTTGGTATTAATGTTATCTATAGATAAGATTATCTCTTTTTCTGTGCCGTTTCGTGTAATTTTTTGACAGGCAAACTCCTATAATAACCTAAGTCAATAGTTTGTTGGCTATAATATTATTATTATTATTTATTACTGTTAACTAATGCATATAAACGATTTGTATTAACTCGTCGCTGAGTAATATATACTGCCCAGCGCCCATCCTGTTCACTCATGCATAGATAATGCCAACCGCCGTAAGGATCATTAACCGATATAAAATACCAAATAAAAACGCCTCACTTTGTTTGATGAGGAAATGAAATTGAATAATTTATCAATTTAATAAAACAATTGAACGTGCAATAAATAATTAATTCCCTCACGTGAGATTGATATCGGCCAAAATTAATTTTTCAAAATTTGGGTGCAAATTAATTTAATGTAATTTTAATCGGTCGCGGTTGGTGAAAATTAAAAGCAAATGTGGCTATATTTTTTATAATTTAGATTCGTATTCCCGACGGAATACTATATTAACGAATTTATGCTTAATTTTCCTTGAGCTGGTGGCAAATACCCAATTTCTCCTACCTAAGTACATCTGACGAAAATGTATTTATCATTTTATTATGAATATATATATACAACGTAGAACGCAAATTTAAAATGAAAAAATACATTTGCGTCATGATGTACAACACGTACGTTTGGTTTGTAATAATAATATTATTATCATAATAATAAGAACTGCAGACCGAGTAGATTACGAGAGGAAACTGGTAAAATGTTCCACTGACAGTGTGAAATATTCAATTTAGTCTGACGTCCACTTAACTCAACTATACTTACTTCTACTGAGTCGCGCGTAATTATTGAACTCCGGTAGGTGAAAATACATTTTGCGAAATTAATTATAACCACTTTGGCTGAAATAATTAATTTCTACTATTGTTCGCAGCTTCCATTTGTATATTGAATATACTATATATAGATAGATATTACTTAACCTTAAAGACACCTACCTACAGATATTCGTTCGCTAATCATATTTCTCAGGTTGTTTATGTAGATAGTATAAAAATGAGTACTTATAAAACGTCGATCGACCTACATTATAAGAACTCAGCAGTCACAAGATTGAATGTCTTTTATACTTAATAACCGAGACATTCCTTGAACCTTTATTGTTCATTCAAAGTAAAACGGTCGTTTCAAATATTTAAATTAGACTGATTCGCCAGTAGTAAGGTATGGGAGAATCCAATCATTTTTACTGAACGAAATAATAAACCGTAAATTGTTAACTTTTTTACTACACTCAAAATCTAGAAACTGATTAAAATCTATGAAAGCTCAAATACGAATAACGGAACCTTTAAAAAATACATTTATTTTAAGTGTTCAAAAATATATTTTTCAACTTATTATTCAATTCAAAACCAAAATAAATATCGATAATATTATACTCACTAAATTTGAATTATTGAACAATATTTCAGTATAGGTCAAAATAGTTTTGTGTAACTAGTATGTATAAGTATCACGAAAATAAAGCTACAATAATAATATACGAATATTATTTAAAATATTGTCGAATTTCGCGGATAATATTTTTTAATTGTTCAATATTATTTTAGGCCATCACGTTAAATAATAATAATACAACTACGAGTATATCCAGTCAAGTAAACCCGTGCAGTGTGATACTATCATCGTGTTTTATTTCGCTATAGTCGTAACAGACTTGTTGTTTATTAATTGCGTAGAAAGTTTTTACTGTACCTGCCTACCTACCAACACATGGTATAACGCAGGTACCTAATACAGTAGGTAGCTTAGTTATAAATTATTGCACATATTGCCCCCTACCCTCACCCCACCCACTTAACCTGCACGTGATTAATGGTGCTGATAAATAGTTTGCAATGCACGCGTATGTAGGTACGTTTTTAATCTCGAAATCCAATTTTATTTTTCAATTTTTATTCTTCCCGTATACGCGCGTGCGTACCAAACACAGAGCTGGATGCTTATATTATAATAGTCACCAATATAGAGATTATCCGCATTATTATTCCCGTTGTGCAATAAAAGCTTATACGTTATTTGTACCGATATTATACCGAGATAGCCCTGAGAGATTTTTTTTTTTTTTCTACACGCCGCCGACTGATTTCAAAACGCTTAATCGTAAATCGATACACGTATGTCACGGCCGCGGTAATATACGTAAGTGATTTGACGACCGAGGTTTTAAAACCACAACGTAATATTTTATTGGGAAAAAAAAACGTTCAAGTAATAAAGTTAAAAACTCCGTAATGCGTTTTTTCATTTCGTTACACGCGTACTATTAAGTATTATACCTATATCGGGATTATAATATTATAATAATATCTATATCGTTTTTGATTTGCATTCGAACAAAACGGGCAGGCGAATACGATACTTACCGCGTGTGTGTTTGTTAAAATAAAAAAAAAAATGTTATCATCACCTATATTACGTGCCTCATACTGGCTCCATTCCGCTGAAGCTGCTGAAGGATTTGTTTATTCGACCAGTGTGCAGAGCCCATTATTACACTCGCATCATTATAATAATTATAGTGGGTGCCTACAGATTTTAGGTTATAATATTTTTCACCTTTTACAGTATTTTTATTGCTTATTTTTTTTTTTATTTCGTCATTAATATTTTCCAATGTATATTTTGGAATTGTAAATAATATTAGTAATTTTGTTAAAGCAACACTAAAATCACGATCCAGATTCTAAATTAAAAGTGTATATTTCAAATTAATTAATGTTCTGTATTGTTTGCCTCTTAATATGGTAATGTGTAAAACATCTATCGAATCTTTACCCCTTGCGGGTGTTAAACTATTAAATAAATAAATACAATTAAAGCATAAAAAAGTACAAAAAAAACTTCCTGCTTCCAAAAATTAGTTTGAATACTTTGAATCTTGCTTAAATTATATTATTATGCGCTGTCCTAGCGACATTTCGGCATTTTAGTAATATTTATTATTTCTGAGTGATGCGTATCGGAAACATAAAAACAAAACATATTTTTACTAAAAAATTATGTAGAGAACATCCTTTCTGTATATTGAACAAATTATATTATTTCTAACAAAAAAAAACACCAGTAAGTGTTTTCAATTTATGAACATTTTTTTATGATCTTATACGTCATGACTGGGATATAAAACAGTGCGCTGTTTGTCAAAAGGTACATTTAGGTATCTAACTGGATTCAGAATTTTCGTAATATTTTAATCCTATATACATTTTATTTGATGAACAAAATGCAAAATACATTTTTTACTTTTCCAACACTATTGTACTTATGTATTAGTACCAGAAGTATTCCTAATACCTAGACATCCTCCGCTTAGCTTTTTTACATGTTATGATTTTAAAAAAATTAAATGAAAAAAAAAAGGTAAGGTAATGGGGACGGGTGTAGCCACTGATGTAGGTGGTAAGTTTAAAAGGTAGGATATAGACGGGAATTTAATGTATATCTGTGAGCAACGATAAATAATTGCTAACGAAAAAACGATTCTGAACAGAGTTCAATTAATAGTGATACTTTATCAATAATCTATATGTTATTTTACAATAAAAATAATTAAATAGGCTTTATATAAATTTATTTTAATAATATTTATTTAATGATGTACCGATTTTCCCAATTTCCCCAAGTTTTTCCCGGTTGTCCCATGTTTTATCCCGGTTTTTCACATTTGCTGTAAAAATTCTTGGGAAAATCAAAAAATTACGTCTTTAAAGTACCTTTCCTGTGAAATTTACTTTCAGAAAAGATGCTACACAGAGAAATCGGAGCAAGTTTTCTGGTAGAAAAAATTTGCACAAATAAAAAAAAAAAATAATTATCTTTGTAAAACCATAAGCTTCTTCGCTTTCACTCAAAATCTAAAATGGTTGAAAATTATTTGGAAACATTATCCAGATTTTAAATGACTATTACTTATTTCTCATTTATCTGGATAATATAAACACATATCTACGTATCTGGTCTATAGATAAACTATAACATTTAAAAACACGACTTCAGGTTGTACAGTAATACTTATAATATTGACCTGGAGAGTCACTATTAACGTCAGTCCAAAACTTACCGATGAATAGCAACAAATATTTTTGAAGTATGTTACACAATAATACAGTAAATTACCGTTTTTAAGAGCGGGATGTTAAATTACTGCAATAAAAGAAACCATACTTTCTCCAAAACATAAAATATTGTAGCGTGACATCGTCATTTGCACCATATATCCTCTGTTTTGACAAAAAAATCTTCCAAAAAACCTTAACTATATTTTTAAATACCTACATAGCCTATAGTTTTGGCTTGTGAGCCTTACTTTACGTGTTGATACGAATATTATTTTAAAAATTACAAGAAGATAGAATATTAATAATGAGGTGAGAAAAAAAATCATTAAACATTTTAAGTTTTTTGATTTTAAAGAATTATAACTCAATGGTATACGATCTAAGGGTTTAGGCTTCAGTGATTAGTAATTATTACATTGACAATTTGGAAACGTTTAAGTATACTTATCTATTTCTTTTAAAAAAACGTTCAAAATGATAGCATATCTCATAAACGCCAGTTAATGTATATATTTTTTTTAATTAAAACTGTAGATGAGGCGATGTACCACTCACCTCATTTGGATATCAGCTACTACCTACATAATATTGTTTTCGCGTTATATGTGCATTTTTCTGTCATTTGCGGTAGAAAAAGTGCAGATTTTTCTATACCCGTAAAGTCGAATTTATAAAAATTAAAAATAAAAAGGTTCTGTTATTATTATTTTTTGAGTTATTAAGAATTTAAAACAATCTCTTTAATTAAGAGTTAAACAAGAATTAATTAATACTCGTTGGTATAGATTCGCTAAAAACTTCTTATAAAATTATTTGCCACACCTAATGCTATACATTTCTAATTTAAATAAAAAATTATTATATTCCACGGAGTCAAACACTTTTTTAACAAAATTTAATATGTATTATAAAAAAAAAAGAAATTATACTGGAAATAGGTGTGCCATTGTTGTAGTTGGTGAGAAGTTGATCCCAAATTAATTACATTTTTCGATAAACTATTACAGACGAAATATGATTCCGAGCGAAGCGAATATTTGGAAATATTGTAATTGTTACGATACCTGTCAACATTTAAATTTAAAATGTTTATAAAAGAAAAACTATTATATTACGCTAAACTTTTTACCGCATTAGTACAACTTGTAATAAGCCTCGTGTTAAATTTGGCCAAACAACTATATCCACATTAAACAAAATAACAACTAAAAAGAACTCAAACATTTCAAATGTCAAATAGATATCTCAAAATTAGCCAAAATGTTTTAAATATATTACCACGTCTATAAAAGTCATATTAGGCACTGATTATTTCATAAAACTGTCCGATCTTATTAATAATTTTTAACTCAATTACAAAAAAAAAAATACAAAATCGAAAATAATTAAACCTTAAACGTCGTACAAATTCCGGTTTTTCCAATGTTTTTTCCAGATATTAGGAAAAATACACAGGAAATCAAATAACCTAATCAATGCAACGACGAGATACAAAATGCTACAAAAAAGCTCTCTTGATATTTTTTTGATTTGAGTATACTTCTGGTAGGAAAAATGTACACAAACAGAAAAACAAAACCACTTACATAATTATAAAACCTACACATTTCTAGACCCGTTTACACTCAATTAATATTATTTACTCAGCTAGGTAGGTAAATCGCTTACCTTCCGGCTGCAGTGGCTTACCCATGATGTGCAGTGCGTCTGGTTTGTTTCAAATTATTTGTAACAGAATGAAAAAAGAAAAACATAAACACAAATATGGCATTTTCACTTTAACCTAAGTATATTGTATATTGTTATAACGGAATATACGCACTCCCCGCAGGACAACCGAGAAAATTGGATTTATTAAAAATCAATAACTATCGTGATAATAATAGGTATCGTACACTATAATACTTCTTAGAACAGTTAAGTTTTTAATATTATAATGTTACCTTTGGCCTATAAATAGACTAGTACCTAAACTTACCGTATTATATTATCTGTAATACCTAGAAAAATCAATACGTCATATTATGTTTTTTTAATCATACATTATTATTATACACCGTACTCTGTTCTAAATACACGCGTTTTTTTCTTTATTCATAAGGTTATATTTCTGTGAAATATTTGAAGCATCGATATTGTAAAATTCATTCGGTAAATCATTTTCATTCGAAAAAAAAAGACCTTCATATTTTAGAGTGTAGGCAGGGATGGACACGATACTCGATACATTTAAATTCATTATATTGGTAAGAGACATTAGATACCTATATTTGCATAACAAATATTGTTAACACAAGATCTTCTATACAAACTTGCATGCACCAACCAGAATAAACTGCATTAACATTGAATGTTTAAAGTAATGCATTATTGTTATACTGTTAGTATCTAAAAATAATTTATGAAATCCTCATTATTTTAACACACACTTTGTATTTTAAATCGATTTTTCGAAAAGCCAGAGCAAAAAATGACCCAGGTAGCCCCTCATTCGAGCGCCTATAGCCAATAAACTTTAAACTGAGTATCGTGATAGAAGATACAAGATACAATGTAATCCAAGATACTATCTAATCCTTGTACCTTAGTATAGGTATACCTAAACATTATATATATATATATATATATTAAATTACTCTTATTTAACATAAATTTAAAACAAAGTTTTCACGGTCCAAATGGCCTTATTTTATAGTTTTCAAACTTAACAAATTTGTATATAAGCATTATAGTGCTACTTATTAAATTGATATTCAAATTATAAAGAAAGACCTACAACCTTCGCACCGTTGATAGGCTTCTGCAGACGTATAGGTGAAAAGTTTGGAAGGTATAAGATGTGAGGTATTATATTTTATGTTCCGAAAATAACGATAAATAATTCAAAAATAATTATGCTCGGTACACTATATAGTAAGATATAAATCGTGTTTTTCGATTGTGTAGCCGAAATAACATAGAAATCAACAGAAATAAACCAACGTATCGTTATTCGTTTTCAGTGTTTGTATTTTTTCGAAAAAATTGTGTTGGTCACAAGGAAAATATGTTCAAATAAAGGACTTAACATAAAGTGAATATTTTGGATTATTTTTACAAACAGGAAAAGTGATTTCCGGGGGAAAAAAATCACATCATCGTAAAACGAATATAGACTACACTTCGCTATATAGCCTCTGACTCAGAATTTAAAACACTAAAAATAAGATATACAACGAATGACACTTTAAACATACGTTAAATATTATTAATAAAATGTCAGATACCATGAGTATATTGGAATATTGTTGTTTTTATTTGTTCCCCGTAAAAAAAAAACATTTTTTAAGCCGTTAAATTGTGAGTGGACCGTTTTTATTATCAAGCCCTCCGATATTTGAATCAGAAATTGAATACGGATAGCACATTTTTCAAAAGGTCATTCGTCGAATGTCCTCGCAGCTTATAGAAGGTTTACGAATAGCCGCGGAAATAAACGGAGAAAGAAATTGTACACAACCATTTGAATTTACGACACGACCGTATTTCTATAACAATACACATTATTGGCCATTTTGTTATCTTCAGTTAAACCGATAGTTTCATTAAGAATTCAATTTTTTGAATGCAACGATTTATCATGTTGATTTTTACATATTGCGATGTTACAATATGATGGACTGAATAATTGATGAGAGAGAATGAAAAAATAACCTGTGTAGTTTCTGTGCCTTTGTCTGTGGTTGTCACTTGGTAATAGGTATATTATAATATAAGTATTGGTTTTCAAAACGCGTTTCAAATAATAATAAAAACCGTATATATATATGAGCATGTCGGTCGAACAGTAACACAAAAATGAAAAAAAAAAGATGCTTTTTTATAAAGTTCATCCTTCAAAGGATAGCTCAGTCTTTATTATTATTACCTATGCTGTACTATACGTAAAGGTTTGTAAATTTACATACACGGATGGATCCGTTCTGGAAGCACTTCGACGCTCTATTTCGAAATGCATCTCCTTAAGCACAGGGGCTTTGGTATTTTTAGAATAAAAATTGAATTTTGTTTTTTGTTGATTTATGGATTACCTTGGTGACACGGATGAATAAACAGTTATCATAAGTTGATTTAGTTGTCACGAAAAAAAAATGAAGTACTTTTTATAAAAAAATAAAATTACCGGGTAACTGCGATTATAACTGTAAGGGAGAGAAAGGTGGAGACAGGGACTCACGGAGAATATTTCTATTATAAATTTTGTGCACGAGTTTTTTTTTCGATTTATGTGGATGTATAATTTGTCCTTTTGTTGCTTAAAAGCGCAAAATTGTAATACAAGGTTTATCATTAGTCTTTCTTTTCAATGATAAAATAAAAATGAACGCATAGGATAGTTTTCTTTATTCCTTTTTTTTTTTTTTTTATGTATAATAAACGTTTGAAATGCAAATTTTTGGTAAAATTGGTTAAAACCTAAAACAATGTTTATCAGAATTCCACGTATAAGTGAAATATTTAGTATTCTGTTAAAAAAAAAAAAGATAATGCCAATTTACTCTAAAATATATTATTTATTAACGTTTCAAACTTGTCCGTCCATCATAATCGCATACTGTTGTACGTTTTAATACATAATCAAAATAATAATTATCGTGTGTGTACCTGCGAGCTCCTTATACCTGTTTAGCATAAAAAAATCATGTATAATATAACATTTCATATTTAAAAAAAAAAAAAAAAAAAAAAAAGCATTACACAAATTAAATATTTTAATGTATTCATATGCAATTAAGTAATTGTACTTCGGATTTCTCGGTTCTTAATTTTAAAACCAATTGGTTTTATTACACAACGTATACTTAAGATATTTGTATGCATTTTATAATATATTTTAGTATTAATCAAAGATATAGTGAATTTATTTGCGTATAAAATGTATTAATAGTTAATTCAATAATAATTATATGGGTATTATAATATATAATTAATTTTGCTAGTGGACAGTTGTGACGGTTAAGTATATAACGTAATAATTTACTTTGTAGTGCAACGATATGAATTATTGCAATCAAAAATCTATTCCATGCGAATCTAAATAAACTGATGGTAATAAGTTTATAAGATTAAAACTTATAACCTTACCGTCAGTGTTAGTCGTAGTTTTTCTCTTTGAAACCAAGGTAATCAAAAGATCGATTAAAATAAAATTTGAGTATCAAGTAATTTATTATCAGATTTTAAAAATTTTTCAAAAAAAAAAAAAAAAACTATTAGTAATCTAAAAAAAATGTATTTTTAAAAAAAATTACTATATACCGACAAATTTTAATCTTTTATGGAACGGTGCCATTATAAGAATTTATCAAATTTTGTTTTTGCATATCCTATAAATTCTTAAATGTTTGTATTGTGTACATATAAAATGTAATATAAATTATACACGCATATACAAGGTGGCGTTTTACAAATGACAAAAATTATGCACCTACGTACTCGTGGATTTTGCACCAGGACAACGCACCTGCCCATAACGCGCTATCTGTGAAGCAGTATTTGGCCGGTAAGCGCACTCCAGTGCTCGAACACGCGCCGTACTCGCCAGATTTGGCACCGTGCGACTTTTTTTTGTTTCCAAAGATAAAATCTGCTTTGAAAGGGACCCGATTTGAGTCGATGGAAGCGGTAAAGCAAAAAACGGCAGAGCTCCTAAAGGCCCTCACAAAAGAAGACTTCCAGCACTGCTTTGATCAATGAAAAAAACGTATGGAAAGGTGTGTGGCGAGGGGAGGGGAGTATATTGAAGGGGAGCATTTGAATGTAGAATAATTTTTATAATAAAACACTTTTTCGTAACCAGTCTCGTTGTTTAATAGCCACACCTCGTATACATCACGTTAGGTTATGTTAGTATTTATGTATAAGCCATTTTTTTTAGACGGCGGTCTATGAATCACAGGGACAGTCAGATAAGATCCATTTGAATAAAAAACTCTGAAAAGGACAATAATTTATAAAACAGAGAATTAATGTTCAATTTGAAAAAAAAATAAACGATTTGTTTGACGATTTGAATCTTTCTATAATTCATTAACGATAATACTTATATTACGCAAGTGGATAATTTAGATTCTTGAGAAATATTTTATAAAATCAAACTTATCAAACTAGGTATCCACAAAAAACCGAAAATATTTTTTTCAAAAAACCACAAAGAAAAATCATTATGTGAAATATAAAATAATATTACATTTAAAGATTGACATAAAATACATACCCATATGTTCCTTATGTAACTTTGTCTTTTCATTCATTGTAGTATAGGTAAACTATATTTTTAAAATTGTACTTTTATTTCAAAAAAGTTTCATTGTTAGCATGTTTAAGAGTTAAGAGCCATCACAGCGGCATTTGCCATTTATGTCTGGGTAAAATAGCAAACATAAAATGTTCACATAACACAAGCGAGAATGCCTTTTAAAATAGATATTTGAGACATAACATTTATTTTGAAATGAACAAATTTTGAAAAAACCTTTGTTCTTTGTCGGCATAGATATTATAATAATTTTATTATTTAACTCATCGTCGATTTTTTTTTTTTTTGTTAAAAAACTTTCGTTTTTTAATATTTAATTAATAATCTAGTTACATAAAAAAATAATTTCTTACTTTTGAGGCTGTGACAACCAAATTAAATATTAATAATTGCTTTTTTATACCCGTGTGCTCAAGGTAATTCATAAATAATAATAATTAAAAAAAAAAATCAATTTTCGAACTATGAGATTTAAAATCATATGCCAATCACTCTTAAGGAGTTGAATTCTGAAATAAAAGTAATCTAAATTATACCCGAGTAAATATTATACTTAACAGTCTCAACAGTGAAAGTCTCATTAACGAAATCAGCTCAACACCGACAGACAGACATAATATATACCTAAACGATGAAAGTTTGTTTATAATATTATATAGATGTCAACATACACTGTTTTAAAGTGGTATTCGAAATGTTTAAAATAAGTGTTTTACCTCTAAACCTTATTCTAAAGGCTTTTTCGTTTGTTTTACGTGAGCACATCATTTTCGTTATATTGCCTGTTATAAAAAAACTGCAGAGACGGAAAATGCTACTGCGCTTTGATGTCTTCAATCTTCCGATAGTAGTATTTTTCGTATTTGTGATTATAGTGAAATTTTCGATTAATTTAACGTTCTCCATAGGGGCCAGAAATGATGATAGCTTTTTAAATGTGACCGTCTTATAGAGGTGACAGTTACTAGAAGTAAGTTATTTCTAGGAGACCTCTATATATAGAGTGTAAGTAAAACTTAAGAAATTTTCTACCAAAAAACTTGCTCCAATCAAAAATACGACAAGAAAGCTTAACTGAGAGTTTTTTTTTTTTCATTTCCCGTATGATTTTTCTAATAATGGGACAACCCGTCAAGAAAACGGAATGTACGCAATAACGATTTCGGTTGATATCGATTTTGTTTTAATTAAGTTATACATTATTCGTAATTTATCCGTTGACCTGAATATTCAACGTATACTCAAGTTTACTCTTTATAAACGTGGTAAACTTGAACTGTTTAAAGCCAATTTGAAATACCAAATAAAATACTAGATAATTTAGTACTAGGTTCATCATAAGTTAGTTAAAATAAAATTTGAGCTTAGAGTAATATTTTTACAATAAAAACAACATACGAAGGAATATGTGACGATAAAGGCCATCTCATTGAATGATAAACGAAATAGTGTTTTATTAGAATTTTGAAAGAGTTACGTCACATCTAAAATGTTGTCTTTTTGATAGTAAAATATTATACTATATATTTATTTAGTTTCGTTTTATAATTTTTACGGCATTTCAGTAATTTTAATTTTTATCGTAAGGTTGAATATTTTTAACTAAATATGTTTGGGTCTCAAATAGCGTTGCGATTATTACTATATTATTATCACTTACCGTTATTATAACTCAACGGGTTGGGAAAGTGGTAAAGAATTTGAACGATAATATGTCTCGGCATAATATGTGTAAATTTCGGCTCGCTCGGCGCTAAGTCAAATTCGTTTCCGGAAAACAGAAAGCTATAAAAACGAAAAACGTAGTAATGGATGAAGTCATTTTTTTTTTTTCACTTGTAAATCCCGTCAAATGACTATAGGACTTTTGGTCGGTAATGTATAACGTTTACTTCGTTGTCCGGCATTACGCACGCTGCCACATAAAATCTTGTCGGAACGAGCAAAAAATGCGGTTTGACGCAAATAAAAACAAAATAATGCCGGCGTATTCGATAGTTATCATCAAAAGCTATTTTACATGCGATGAACGCATGAGCCGTCATACGCGGTTGTAACGTTTGATAGTATGCACGCGAAAACCGTAATGATGTGCGCTTATACGACCGAAATGTTCGTACCGTTGTATGTGATATTCGTAACATGATAATATATGAAGATTGTTAATTTCAGGCATCATTGCGAAAACATTGCCGACCAAATCTAACATTGAATTATTATGTAATAAAAATATACGATACAATAAAGTTTAGTAAAACTGCACATACTGGTATGGTGTAATGTACCCACAAAACCCGTATAACTCTATTAAATATAAATTATTTGAAGAAAACGCATTTTTATCATTATTTTGTTTTTTTTTTTTTTTGTGAAATATTTTAGTTTCAACGTACGAAAATATTACATCAAATCCGTTTGTTTCACTCACGCGCACTAACTTTACAACCTAAAAGTCTCGTCGTATTATTTTTCTGGCCCCGCGTTAGATTCGTAAGCATATTAATTGTATTGCTTATTGTATGTAACATATAAAATAACAAGTTTATTAAATAGCGCTTCCAAGTTGATATATTTCCTCCTTTCATAGTCTCCACTCAATTCACTTTCATTGGTTCATATATTTTTCACAGCACCTTCCCCAAAAAGATAACGAATTTCTCCATAACCCTTGGATTGCAAACCACGTTTCATAGATGTGTGATATTATTGGACGTAGGTATGCTAAATATATTTTCTCTTCGTTCAGCTTTAATGGCATTTTTGAACTTTAAAATATATATAGTGAAATATATATGTAATATTCGTTGAGTTTATTCTAAGTTTAACATAATTGTACAGATACTTTTTCTGATTAATGTTCACTCCTATGTATTTGAAATTGTTGGAAGATGTAGTTCACAATCGCCAAATCGTTCTTAATAGACGTGATTCATTATCATGTAATTTATTTTGGATTAATTATTTTTAAAAGAAGAATTACTGGATGTAATTCATTTTTCCATGTTTCTTATATTTCATATTAATTTTAAATAATTTTTCAAATATATTATTATTTGTACGTAGTTGATTTTCATTAAATTTGATTTTTTGACAATATTGTTTGACCATTAAAAACTTAAGCTCTTCCAAAGAAAAAAAAAACATGATTACGGCACTGGCTGCTGATAATCCCTGTATCTGAAAATAACTTAAAATAATAGAACAAAATAGAATCGTGATTATTTTAATCATACTATGAAATTCGGAAAACCCGGCACTCAAGATTTTAGCCAAATTAAATCCGTTGCTTAACTTTTAAATACATTTTGGTGTTAAAATTTTTGATTTCCGTCAACCCATTGGCGAGATATTTCACTTTTAAGTTTAGGTAAGAGGAGAGTAATTGAGTATCATTTGTGTGGCAGCACCGCGCGTAGCGTTTTATAAGTGCTCCATTACTCTCCTTTTACCTAAACTTAAAAGTAAAATAACTCGTTAACGAGTTAACGTTAAAACCAAGATTGGTATCGCCACAGGATACTCCTTAAATGTTGTGAAAAATCTAAGTATTCGAAAATATCAACTTTAACTACACTTAAAATATCTAAAAAATTTGAATATGAATAAATATAAAGTTTAACAAAAAAAAATTGGGTGAGCACTTTCAGTGAATTCTCCTGTATATACGAGTACAACACTTGGGTTTTTTTTTTTTTAGAATTTACCGCTAAATAAAAATCAGAACGAAGTCGTCGTAGTCATTTTCTTTTTTAGCGTTGTATTTAAATACTACAAAATATATTATAGTTTCCTATTAAAAGTGAATTAAATTTACAACATTTAGATTTGTGACTACATTATATATTATTTAAACTATATAGGTACCGAATTTTCGAGCTTGGTGTTGATATCGGCTTTTCTTTTTTTTCTTCGGTACCTATATCTAAAACTTTTGGCACAATAGCCTTTTGTGTCTTATGTAGCTACGGAACACTGCCGCGATATCAAATGGCGAGTTCGATTATTTTGGCACACGTCCATAATATATGTTGCCCTTATCTTACTAAAAGTCAGATAGGTAACGGAATATAATATGTACGTTTACTGCAACGATGGTCGTTAAGCAACCTGGATATCTTAAGTCAAGATCAACAAATAAAATTCGACTTTATTGGCTTATCGATAAGTTTGTTGGTGATATTGTATACCTCACCTCGATAAATAACAACGCATATGTAGTAGAAGTAAAATTAAATGTAAAAATAAAGTTCTGGAAAAAAGTAGAATAATATGTTGAAGAGGAGTGTGGGCTTGAGGAGTGAACAGTCAAATTTAATAGACACCTCCCCCCCCATATATTGGTATATGTTGTGACATGATATTGTTACTGCGTAGTGTGTTTGATACGGATGCACTGCGGTTTTTCCGCTGATGAATATGTGTGTGTGTGTGTTTATTATACGGTCATTGTCGCGACATATACATATACATACTATTATACTAATATAAAGACGTATTACATTTATTATTGACCGGCAGCTACCTATCACACGGGATTATTTTTATTAATTTATTTGCGTCCACCTAATTTTTTAATTAATTTTCCACTACGGGAATATGGAAATAATCACTTACCTCGGTATAATGCTTGAAGTTCGCAAGAAGCTCGTTGCTCAAATGTAACGAGCGGGATACGTATGGATACTTAGGTTTCGATGAATTGTTACAATAAACACAAGTAGGTTTTCTTACTGTTTTTTCACCAAGTTTACTATGCCAATAATAGGATAACAATGATAACAAATGATAATGATAACAATGTGACTATGCTTAGACGTCGGGTCACTAATAAATGACGACTTGCGGGAGAATCATTCGTTTAGTGTAACGAGTCGCTAGCCGATGCGTTATTGTATATCCATTGTGCTTTAAAGTGCTTACTACAATATAAATGTACAGATAATTGTTTATCTTCAGTGACGACCACCAACTGCGATATGTTAAGTCAATGCTCGAGTCGGTCGTGTGTAATATAGAGTGCGTATTTATATTGGAAAACTTTACAGACAATTGTTTATCCTGAGTGACGACCGCCAACTGCGATATAATAAGTCAATGCTCAAGTCAATCAGGCACAATATATTGCGTGTGTGTTTGTAAAGGGTTATGCGAAAAAAAAATATAATAGGACACGTTTAAATGTATGATACGAAACAAGATGACAATATGTTACAACCACCAAGTTTAAAGTGATGTGGATTAACCAAATACAGCAGCCCGCCTATGGTATCTGCAACTGCTGTATAGGTTTGGACAAATTTAGGTAGTAAGGATGTTAGGTGAACAGGCTTCCGCTGGGCGAACCCAGAGAAGTGAAGATTCGACGAAAAAGATTTACCGAGTCTCGCGCGTTATGCAATACGTGGACCCCATACGGGCGGACACAGTGACTACGGGGGGCGCCAGTGTGTGGACAATGCGTATAATTAATTATGTAATAATTTAATGGCGTACTTATGTGGCAACACTGAAATTTTTTTGTGTTATAACTGATAATTATACCTACTACGTCCCTTTGCTCGTTTATTTCATAAATATTGAACATTAATGTATTACGCGTGTATTATAATATAGTTAAACTACAATAATTAAAAACCAAGTTTATAAACCGGTGTAAAATAACGCGCAATGGTTGACCATTTCGTTTTGTCTACTGTCCTTTTGATAAAAATTACAAAAACAGATATTTTTAATTTAAAACATCATAAAATCTGTTAATAAGGACAACATGACCAAAAAATGGGGATATAAAAGACAAAAATAAAATTTTTGAATTTGTTCTTTGTTTTGTATCGATAACTCTAACATTGCATTAAGCAATTTTTATTGCTCGCAGCAATAACTTATTGCTAACAAACAAAATCAATCATTTTTGGTAATGACCAAAGGACTGGCTTTAGTTCAACAACATTTGTATAACATTTTGTAAATATTTACAAGTGTTGATTAAATCGTATAAAAATATTGAGTTTCGTAAAATTTGTTACTAATACCTATAAATGATTAAGTATCAACCGCAGCAATTATTATTTAATTCGTGTTAAAAAAAAAAAAAAAAACGTCGAACCTGTACGTTTTCGCTTGTATTCATTTGTAAAATGATTTTGTTTTTTTATTACAATATCGGTGGTTCCTTATATTATCGCAAGTTTAAATGGGAGTAAAATAAATATAGTAGTGAATACACGTACACATAAATCTAACAGTAACTTTAAAGTACTGAAGAAAGGTTTCACGATAAATGCAAAAAACAAAAGTATACAATACAGCCACTAAAACAGTCTCGTTTTGAACTTTTCTTCATAATAAAACATCTTACGGTTTTACAATAGGTATATAGTTTTTAGCTGCAAAGACAATTGTCATATACGACCGTCAACATATACTTAGAAAACATTTCGTGTGCACAGTCTTCAAAATGTATTTCCAATATATGTTTGGTAAAGGTATACTAATACACTGATTATGTTATTTTCAATAACGAACCGTTAGTAATTATAAAACGACTTTACATCACGGTGCGTCGACTCACTACAGTTAACACACACAATTTTTCTCTCGTTGTTTATTGTCCAAAATATATAATAATTCAATAATGTGTCATTTTCAGCAAGGCAAAGTCAAAACGGTAAACTTTGGACCAGAATAACCACCCCCCAAAAAAAAAAAAATATATATATATATAGATATTTAAAAATTTAGTGAAGTCAGTCAGATTACAATAATAATATAATATTCCCAGTTACAGATTCCCGAGATCCGGACCAGTGTAAAATAATTTAAATCTAAAATTTCGAGTTATAAACTGCTTTTACTTGCAGAATATAAAAATTTTATTATGGCTTTTAGTTCTACCATAAACCAATAGTATTAAATTAACTAAGTACTTATACCTAATTTATTGATTTAAAAAAAAAAAAAAATTTCCGGATTCACTTATGTCTACCCAAAATGCACGTGAAAACCATAAAAAATAATCGAAAAAAAAAATAACTGGCACGCGACTATGAAAACAAAATACATTACAAATAATATTATAATTTATTATATTCTGTCTCGTATACGCTATAGAATATATTGCTGTTGTTAGGTTCATAATATACTTTTAAAGGATACACAATTCATATTTCTGTCTTATATAAATTTATATTTATTTTAATGCCATTTATTTATTAGTGTGCGCTGATGATGTCACTGCAGTATTATATGCAAACGATATAATACAAATATTATTTAATTATAATCATGATTTATTTTTTTATTTTTTTTTTTGTTTCAGAATCTAAAAAATCAGATAATGACGACCAATTTGTGGGTGGAACAGGTAAAATAGTATTTTATTTTCATATCATTCGTCCAATTGTAAAAAATATTCGCCCCTCACCCTCCCTTGCAAATAAATCATTATAATAAAGGAGGTACTTGATGAACATTTTTATATTCACTATACACGAGTTTATGTTATTATACACATTATTTGTATTAGTCTGTTCTGTGATTCATCCCTTTCTCTACATCGAGATGCCAATCGATATACTTCTTTTTGTATATAATATGCACGTGTTTACGGACACAGTTTTTTGTTACACTTTTTATACTTACGTATATATATATATACTATCGTTGTTCTATCGTTATGGACAAAAAACCACTATTGTTTCAAAGAATGAGTTATCGAAAAACCCGGAACTAAGAAAAAGGCGGTGAAAAAAAATATATCAATTTATTAAAAACATCGTGATTGATACCTATACCCAGGTATAATTTTATACATCCACATTTTTTTTTCGGATAGAAAAAGGTATAATTATTGTACAGTTATCAATTTGGAAATTAAAATATTTAATTCAGTAAAATTTAAAATCTGGAATTCAGGTTTTTTTTAGATATCAATATAAATCTTAATATAAGTTTATTAAATTAAGTATATATTTAAATATTTTAATATAAAATTCGCTAATCGCTGTAATCAAACGCGATGTTCTCATTTGTTAGCTATAATGATAATTATGGCTAACATTTATTGGCTATACTATAAAAGGATAAGAAAGGTATTTGGTTTATTAAAAATATACAATAAAAATGTGCTAAAATATACCATAATCATATTATTAAATAAGTACTTAGAATACTAAAACATGTTTGTTAAAATTCTATTTTTAAAAAAAAAAAAGAGATACTAATCTGAATGAACTCATCCATTAATGTACGCCAACAAAGTAAAATATAATGAACACTTAAAGTATGAAAACAAATATTTTAAACGGGTGTGCCACTGTTGTAGATGGGAATTTGGGAAAGTAGGGTACATAAAGTTATTTAATTTATATCCGTAAGCACAGCGATAAACCATTGCTAACGGGAAACGATTCGGAACGAAGTTTAAACTCAATTTAATTTTTTTTGCCCACTAAGTACAACTTAAAATGAACCTACTGTCAAATTGTCAAGTTTTTCTGTTAAGTCTAATAGTTTTATCCACAGAGTACCTACCAAATAAAAATTACGTAAAAAACTCGCAAAATGTAATTGTCCATAAATAACTAAAAAAAAAATGTTACCATGTTTAGAAAATCGATTTTTCCAAGTGTCAAATGGTGTACGAATATTAAAATTACGATTGCAAATGGTTACAAATGAAATAACGATCATTGTTATCATTCTGGAGTCTGTAGAACTAAAAAAATACTGATGGCGGTACTGGTGTAACGGTTGCACCAGTTTCGCAATTTGAAAATCGGTTTTTCCGAATTTTGAGTGGTGTGAAAATGTTAAAATCAGGATTTCAAACGGTTACAAATAAAATATCAATCGATAGGATAATTATTTACATTGATATTGGTGGTACACTGGGATAACGCGCCTGTTCATTCACTTTTCGGACTTTCATTCCGATGAATTAATTTAAGATTATATTTTTTAAATGCCAGACAATAATACATAATATTCTAATATTATTCGGTAGGACAATAACGAAGAAATTCCGTTGACCATGCTTTCGCGGCTCGTCCGTGGTCGACGACTCCGGGACACGTACTCGTAAATTGTTTTTCGAGAAGTAGTACGAACTGAGTAATCTAATTTCGAGTACATTTTTTAATGAGGTCCTGAATTTGGAGTTTTAATATTATTCTTATAAAAACTAAAACGACCGAGTTGAAACGGGGTTGAAGTTAAATAACTTTATATATCCTACTTTTCTAACTTCCCACCTACAACAGTGGCGTACTCTTCTCCGGAATCGGTTATTTTTTTTTTTTTTAATTATGTAAGTAATTGCTCATGAACTAAAACTAACAATAGCACTCATAATTATATTAGTTGATAATGTCAATTAATGGAATAAATTATATTTGATTATATTTGTTATAAAACTCTTGGTTTTAATTGGTTCGACAATTTTACCTGAATATTATTGAACTTTTTTTTTTTTTTTAATCATTGTTTTAATAATTAATACATATTATTTCAGGCCTAACGGTCACGAAATAAATAATAACTTGTATGGTTAAAATTGTTAAGAGTACAATATATGATACGTAATTTTCTAAATGAAAGTGTGACGTATCCCAGTTATTGATGTGTGCCGTGTCACGTATGCATGTAAACGCATAATAATATATTATCTATTGTTGACATTTATTATATTAGTAGGCCAATAACAAAAAGTTAAATAAATAAATCGACACTGTATTGTAGCCTAAACAAGAGACAACACGAATTCAACTCTACTTTGGATTTTTCTCGATAGGTCCTGGTTACTTACGAATGACGTTACCGTATTATACAGTAGCCACAGGCATTTTTGTATTTAAGTGTTTTTTTTTTGAATTAAAGGTTTAGAAGGCGGGGATCTCGGTAAACCCTCCAAGACCCCACTCTAAACACCTCCCATTGATAAATCTTTTCTATGCCACTGACCGTATAGATTGCAACGTCCATTCGTGGAATACTACACAAAAGGCACAAGAAACGGTACAAGTCGTTGTTAATGGGATAAGTACCGCCTTTAATACCTACTATATTATATTATAATATCACAATATCGGTTTATAATGTGTCGTTATTAAATCATAATGTCATAAAGGGCGCCTAGTTAATATTTACATTATCTCCTATGGTCTATCGAGCACGAAAAGCGCATCGTAATAATAATATTAGAATGTCGTACCTCGTGTGTGTGTGTGTGTGTACATACTAAAAGCAGTACATAATTCGTTGGACGAACGTACACGTACAATATTATATAGATATCGCGGACGAATTAATGAACTAAAATGTCTCGTCAATTAATATAATAGCCAAAGATTAGATTTCTCGTGGTTATTGAAACGAAAACGCGTGTACGCTATTCGAAGACTGGTGAATGGTTGATAATGAATACGGGCGTATAGATATAATATTATTACACCGAGAAACGACGTCCGTACAGCTGCTAAGCCGTGTTAACCGTGCGAATATTCATAATAAGTAAAATGTGACAAATGTCTAAATACTGTTTTAGAGCTTATCGAAATAATTCGTTTTATACACAAACAAATAATAAAAACAAAATGTAGCAAGAAGGATGCATGCCTAACCAGAACGTAAAACGAAAATAGTTGATACTGCTGGGTATGGCACTTTTGTAGTTGAATAGTTGAGAAGGTAAAAGTTATTTATTTTATATCTATATACACAACGATCAACGATCGATAAATATAATTATAAAACGAAAAACAATTCTGAGCGAATTTCGCTTATACCACGATTTCCGTACAAATTTGTATTAAGACTTTTTTTTTTTAATATATATACATATTTTACATTTAAATTTTTTAACCGCTTACAAATTGTTCGTTCGTTTTTACTCAATTTTTACGAAAACTACAAAGAAAATCGAAAAACGACTTTCTTATTGAATTGAATACGTAGATCCGAAATACCACAAAAAAGTTCTTTGTGCCGTTTCTTGATTTCAACAAGATTTTTGAATAAAAATATCTAATTCTTTAATTTATAACCTGGTAAAGTTAAAATTCGGTTGACCGTTGCCAAAACGCAAAATTTTTCTAAGAGTTGGATAAAACTTTGCGACAGTCAATTTTAACATTTTCAATGTGATGACTACGAAGAAACCGTATATCGAACTTTTTGTTTCGAAACTTTCTATTTTAAATTCAGTAGCTATAGGGAATTATTATTCAAAAATGGTTCTCTACTTTGCTGATTTGTATGTAGAAATTCGCCGCGGAACACTGTATTCTACAATCGTTCTTAAATTTGATTTACAAGATAAGTACTCTCGATACGGATTCCAAATCATTGACCCATATATTATTAGAATTGATCCGGCTGGGAAAAAGTATAAAGAACCCGGGCCAGCGAGTAGGACCATTAAAATTCCCGACGACGACGTATGAAAAATAGCACTCGTAGTGCATTATTGCGAGTCACATTTTTCTAACGCACATTGATTGTGATTTTTTTTTTATTTGTCAGTCATCCGCAGATATTCGTCTATGATAACTGTAATAATACGATACATAGTATAATTACATTCAATTATAATTAAGTACAGTATAACATGTTTTCCGAAAACCATCCGAGAAGAAACTTTAATATAAGTATCTACGTATAATATAATATATACATATATTATAATACGTTATATACATATATTATGTTATAATGTATACGGATCCTGCAGAGGACGTGCAGTTGAACAGGTAAGGATGTTATAAAAAGAACAACCGGAACATTTTCCATAATAATGCGATAAGTAATTGCATAGTTGGTTCGTATAAAAACGGGAGAGGGTGCTGAGAGTTGCAAATTTTTAATATTAAAATCATGCCATGTTAAAAGCCATATATAATAAGAAGTTTTCCGAAAACTTCTTCCTGTTCCGTAAGTACGGCTCCCTACCATATATAATATTATAATATTATTTTAGCGTCAAAATTATATTCTATGTATTACTGCTACTATATGTAGAATTTGGGTCACCGGTAAGTTTTCCGTTAGCATTTGCTTACCGAAACTTCTTCGCATGTAGTTCAACTCATCCCTTTCGATTTCCAAAACTGACGTGCGCGTGTATATGTGTATAATGTATACACACACACACACACACACACACACACACACACACACACACACACACACACACATGAATATATTACATTATACGGAATATTATTATATTGTATATAGTTTAAACTCGGACTTTTGTAATAATTCTTTTTACGCTAAAAACAACTATCAAAATTGCCGTTGAAATTGGAATCGTATAATAAGGTAATAATAAAAACAGTGATAATATTATTATTTTCGTTGTAGTATTGTTCAGTACAAGAAAATTATTGACGGTAATATTTATACCTATTACATTTCGCAATAACATTGAACCATCATATTACTGCCAACAAATATGTCATACTTGTATCTCGTACCCTTGTAACTTACGAAAATCAGCAGGAATATTGCATTATTAACTATAAGTATATCTAGGTGTTTTACCTTTTTTTTTTTTTCATTAATTGTATGTAATTGATGTAAAATAAATATCGAAAATGCCGGATGTACTATCGTACAGGGGGTAAATTACTATTGTGTATTTGAGAAGTTTGAAAGGTATTAGACAAAGAGTATAATTTAGTTTACTATATGAACCGAAATAATCGATGAATAGTTACAAACAAAGAACTAAAGAAAAGAGAAACTCGGTAAACTTCTAATATTATTAGTATTAGTCGTGTTGTTTCCTCTCCGAGTAGGTAATCTAGAAATCAAAAAAAAAATAAAACCTATTCACTTATCGTCATTTATTGTCAGCTGTTTTTTATTTAGTTATTTGATAAATCACATCAAATAAAGAAAATTTGAACATTAATTATAGTTATAGTTAGCGAGGGATCTATTGGTTTTACTATAATGCGTATTTTTTTCTTGTGTCTGTAAATAAATTTTCTATCAGAAAGTTTGCTCTAAAGTATGGACTATAACACCATTTCTGAAAGGTAATTTTCATTCGTCTCGCAATTGACGTCTATAATACTAGCTAAGTTGTATTTAGGAAAGTAATTTTGAAATTTCTCGATTTTGGAAATCGGAGAAAACAGAACAACGACCAAAAGCGTATATAATCAGGATTATGTAGTAAATTCCCGTGAGCTTTGTAAGTGGCAAGACAAATCTCTAGAAAAATACAAAACGATGGGCTGTTAATGATGTACATTGTTGGGTATATATAAATCTAGAATACGAGATGTTGATCATTATTAACTATTAGGTGCCTGTTGTCATGAAACGGTACAATTTATCAGTAATATTTTTGAACGCTTAAAAATATTCTGTACAGTTATTTTTCTTAAGCTGATCAATGCTATACAATTAATTTAATGTTGAAAGATAGCGTTTATAACGATCTGAGTTCAACGTATATGATAAAGAGATTATTGTTGACGATGTAGGTGGCGATAAATCGTCACTGGCGAAATTCAAGATTTATCCATTTCACCCAAAATATGATCTATTTGAGTTGTGGGTATATATACATCTTATTATTTCTTTGTCGTGATAGTATTATTGTTATCACGGTAAATAGTAACAATATAATATGTGATTGTGTATGTAAACGAGTTGATTAAAAAACAAGAAAATATTATGTTCTTTGCTAATTCGTTTCGTATATTTTAAACAACAAATTTACTTTAAAGAGAGTTGTAAGCAAGTTGTTGAATTTCTTTGTTTGTCGATCCTATCTCACCCGGTGTTTAAATGTGTCTCCGAATACAAATAATATCTAACTAAAAAAAAAAAAGAATATCTCAATGTCCAATTATTATAAGGCAAACAAGTGAGGTGATCATACTTGTACTATACACAACAACGTCAAACAACAACATATTATTATGTGAGTACCCAATTAGGGCTAACGAAAGTTAGCATCTCCCGCAATCGTTTCGCGGCCTGTTTGAATTTCGGCAATAATAATACGTGATGCGATAAGAAAGTGTAATATTACTATACAGCATGTGCAATAATTGTATGCAATCGTAAAAAGGTGGCTTTTATAGTATGGAGTATTTTATTAAGGGACAAACGTGTAGGCAATTTGCGTTCGGCATAGATAACGTAGTTGTGTAAGTACGTACAGGTATACAGTCGCATGCACGAGTAACCGATTTCACACTTGAAAAATATATTGTTGCCAAAAGCGAGAGAAAAATTCACACAGAACCGATATCGTTCAATTTTCGAAAACATAGCTACAATCAAAATATTATTCTTCTTTCACATTTATCCATGTGCTCTGTATGGGAAATTGATTTTCAATATTTTGGATAGTCGCTTATAATATTTTTTGGTAAAATGCATGCACGTGCTCAAAATAAACTTGTATAGCCAGTCAAAGGTTAAATAAAAAATAAAACTCAATGTTCTAGAAAAAATGAATTACTAACTAAACTATAAAAGAATTTAATTTTTTTTTTTTTTTTAATTGAAATATTCGACTTTTTAACTTTGGTCTTAATGTGTGGAAAATCCGATTTTTCACAATTCATTAACGTATTATTTTATATAAAATCAGAAATAATGAATTTCACAAGTATAAAAGCTTCAAGAAAAAAATAACGGTACACACATCCTTTGTTGCATCAGGGGTACTGTAATGGTGGCCACTGTTGAAGGCGGTAAGTTGGTTAGGTTGGTTAGATTAGGTAACGAAAATTCGTAGCGAGGAAAAACGATTCTGTCTTTTTTTTTTCAATGCGGATTGCACATAAATCTTTAAATAATATGAAAATAGTTCTATTTCAATTTTTATAAAGGGTCCGAAAAATCAAAACAAATCAGCAAAAAGTCCAAAATTCAAACGTTAGTCCTCATATTAAACAAATTTGACTTTTAAAATTTAGTATTTCTATTTTAAAAAATGAAAAAATATTAAGGAACATGAAAACATTCAAATAAACTACCACCTGTCGTGGAAAATCTACATGTTTTAACTTGTGCCATAACTAACTATTTTTGGAGAATTTTTACTTACCGAAAAAATGATCACGACAAAACCAATACATTCCGCGCACCGTTTCAATAGCGACGTAATTCGATTCGGTTTAATAATATATAAGACGAGATATTACTATTAATTTTTTCGTGGCGTTTAGTGGTCTGGAGGAGAAAAATCGAGACCCATTGAATAGCCTATACTTACGGGGTGAAACGAGAGACATTATGTGCATACTTTCGCGAAAAAATGGCGACACACGTGAGCATATAATAATATTATAATACCTACCAGTCGTACATCACTGTCATCAAGATTCTCGCCGTTGCCCGAATGATAGATTCGACCACTTAATATTTACTGAGGGTCCCGTCGCGTCCCCATAGACGAAGTAACGTTCCGTTATTTCGAACGAATATAGAAAAAAATGTCACCTGTCGAGTTTATTCGCCACGTTTATTGTTCTGCATGTTGGTTGAATACTATAGGCAGGTATTTTATTCTGCAGGTGTTTTTATAAATGTGGTCTATAAACACTCGGGGGAAGGAAAGTGGAATTTGTTGTGTGAATGTACCGACAAATAAGAAAAATTCCCTGCAGTGCAATATGTATATACTACACAGTTGTAGTCAATCGATTTTAAGTTGATATGTCTTTCGTTTGGCAATTTGAGGCTATTTGAAAAAGAAAACACATTTTGCGATAAATCGTTCTAATGCAACGTGTGGATAATATAACCTACTCGTACCAATGGAATTGACTGAATAGGATAACCGAGAAAAATATTATCAAAGTACGAACAATATTTTTCTCCAAACGTATTTTTATCATAAAAGACTTTTCTACCAGAAATATTGCTCTGATTTTCATGTATAGTACCTATTCTGGAAAAAATATTTATTTGAGTGATACTATTATGAGGTCACTTTTGTATTTTCCAAGTGGATTTCATAATAATTGCGAAAAACCGGGAAAAACGTATACAAATGGGTAAATTTACGAGATAAATTTATTTTTCAATTTCATTTTGTTGTTGTAATTTAGTTAAAAATATTTATACAGGTTTGAAATTAGTACAGGAAAATTATACTTTGCTTCTATAGACGAGGTAAAATATTCAAAACATTTTAGCCATTTTTGAGCTATTTATAGGTATTTCAATTTTACTATCTTTTTAAGTAATTCACATTCGGTAGGAACTCCGTGGTTAAAATTATCAGACAGGACAGGAATGCTTGGAAAATTTGACAAGAGGTTCATTAAAGTTGTAATTTGTGGTAATAATAAAATACATTTAGTGTAATGTGAAATTTTTTTTCATAAAAATATTCGTAACAAATTTTGACAAAAATCGTAAATATTGCGGCCTTTTAAAACATGTTAAACCGAACTCCGCTCAGAATCGGTTTTCGTTAACAAAGATTAATCGTTGCTTTCAGATATACATTAAACCTCTTTCTATATCTCAACTTCTCAACTTCTCACCTACAACAGCGGTCCAACCATCGTGCAAAGTGTGTCGGTCTTTGTTTTTATTGCATTTTCTTTATTTATTGGGAATAATTTCGTACTACATTCGCAAATCGTTTTTTCCAAAAATCAAAAATGTTTATTATATTTCGTAATTTGTATTTGTATAAGTATTGTCCGTATTGCTATTGTTTTAGATGTAGATATTATAGATTTGATATTCAATGTTGGCGATTTATTAGGACATTCTCCCTATCACCGTTATGTTGTCCCACACACCACATCAGCAATCGATGAAACCGTTTAGAAATTGTGTGTAAAAAACGTAAGAGAAATAATATTGAAACCAATATTATATGTGATTATATTGATATCAATGTATAACACGGTGTGTTGATAAATGTTCACGTTTTGCAGTGTATACATTAGATCAAATGGAAAATCAGTTTTAAAAATTGAAACTGTTTTCATGATAAAATACAGAGGATAAATTTGGCTATTGTTAGTTGGCATTTATTATATTTTATTAGTTTTCGTTCGTAATAAAATGTAATAATAGTGAATAGTTTTATAGTAAATTGCACGTAATATTAATATTCTCATATTCCTTCTATGTAATTTCAATAATGGCATGGAAATGCCTGTATATAATATACAGGGTATCCTGCAGTGTTATCCGAATGCTATAATAACTCTATCAATATTGGTTTTTTTTTAATCGGGGTTTGTGTCAGATTAGGTCCCTACGGGAACACAAATTTAATGGACAATTAAACCTTTATTTCTATCACTGAAAAATAAAAACGTTTTAATTTTACTTTTTAAAATGTTCAAAATGTATTATTCTAAGATTTTTAGTTTATTATACGTTTATATCTAGCGAAATGCGTGAAATACAAAATTACCATGTTACGCGATAGCAAATCACACTCGTAATACAACATAAGATTTAATGTTGAAATAATGAAATTAAGACGGCTATTACTAAGAAACTATTAATTGATCGGATAAAAATGTATAATGCATTTAAATTTTCAGAATAGTAAAGGTATTTTACCAAATGGCAATTTCGAAAATTTTAAAAAATTAAGTTATTTAATTTTTCACTGATGAGAATAAAAATGTAATTTTTCTCTAATGTATCAATGTTACCTGACGCAAAACCTGATTGAAAAATAAAAAAATGAATATCGACAGAGTTATTAGCATTCGTGTGACACTATAGGGCACCCTGTACATATATAAATATATATTTTTTTTTTTTATGGGCTCACTTAAATTTTGAAAAATATCCTATAAAAAAACCACTTTCTACATAGTAAATCGCGAGTCCCGTTTAAAGTCGTCTTACGAATGTAATGATTTATAACTGCTTTCGAGTTGAAAAAAAAAAAATAATAATAACACAAAACAGTATAGCGTACGCCGAAGCGAACGATGCGAAACGAATATTCCAAACGCTCGGTTTTCGTATATCATCCCGTCCATATTTTTATTTTTTGTTTTTTTAAACTAAGATTATAAATAATATTAATATCTTGTTTCGTATCAACAGAAATCGGTAATTCATAGTGAACAATACTATTGTTATTAGACACTGATAAACAGTCTGGTATTTCAAAGTAAGACAATGTATATATACATATTTTTTTTATCGATTTCCTGTACGCCAAAATAATACATTATTTCAAAATAGCGTGATTAAAATTAATATCAATTCATATTTGTATTACACAATTGTTTTTTAATAATTATATGGTACCTATCTGAATAATTTATAACATGTAGGTACCTATACTTAAAATAAAATGCTAGTGATCGATTGTAATATTATTTTAATGGATCTCTATAGTATTGGTAGTATAGTAGGCATACACATTTAATTTATGTAAGGGCACTATATCATTTGCTTTCGTTTTTTATAATATTCCAAAACTTCATTTTATACGAGTACTGTACGGATGACTTCATAATAAAATCAACGTTAAATCAGTATGATTATAAAGATGTCAGGCGATATTAAAAAAAAAAAAGCGTTTCAATAGATTTTTGAGTATTTGAATTTGAATATAATATTTTTTTTGTACAAAAAAAAAAAAAATAACTGCTTGCCTAGATAATTAGGTAGCTATTAATGCAATTAACGAGAAGGGGGCTGGGTTTATGATGACGGCTCTAAACCGAAATAAGGACGTAAGTGCCAAAAATTAAATTGTTTTGTATAAAAAAAAAAACTTTTTAAATTGTCAGTACTTATCATTATATTTTTTTTAGTTTCGTGTTTTTGAAAGCTTATTTTTAAAGAAGTATATTTATCGAACTGTCAAGTTGTCAAATCCTATGAATGTAAATGGTTTACGAGTAAAAAGTTGTGTAAATAACATACTTGTGGCTTACGTCAAATTGTGTTGAAATTATTTTATTGTGAACACATGATGTTAGTGACAGTGTGACCAAATACAAATTGAGACACTTAAGCCAATTTGTTACATTTAACCCTTATTTAAGTAAATTAATGTCGGATACGCCATAATCCTATTTATTCGTAAAAACATCGTAAAGGAAAGATAACGGTATTATTGTTAGTGCAATCGATGCTCCGTTCAATTTTGAAACAAGTGTTACTTACGCTCTTTTGGCTTAGAGCCATCGATCACCCCTTCCCCCAAAAATTTATGATTTTTTTTACATAAAACAGATATTGTTTCGATTTTTTTTTTTTGCGATTGTTGATAATATTTCTCCCTACAGTTTAAAATAGTGTAGGTACTATATGATTCCAAATTTAATACTTTCCCAAAAATTATAATTTGAAATACATATCCCACCGCTCCCCTCCAAAAATTAACCCGGTTGCCCCACAATGTAGGTATTTACTCATATTTTATGACATTGAATACCTAAATATTTTCGATACCTACGCGGCAAAGGAATGATTATTATTCCTATATAATATAAAACGCATTCCTCGTTCCGCTCAGAATCTAAAAAATGTATAAATATCCTATGAAAATGTTAATCTGTTGTAAATGTTAATAAATATATATATACTATACTATATTATTAATATCGGTTTTTGTGTATGAAAGCTCGCCATATGATTGATTCGATCGATTATACCTATTATATTATTTAGTTAGCAAGTTTATGACGTATAAAATATAAGCGTGATGCGAGATGTTATTCGATGATTTATGATCGATAAGTCTTCGTCGCCACCGCCGTGCGCTGTCGTGTAGAATGGGCAAAACTTTATACAAATAAATAATGAATTAAACGGCCAGATACACCAGCCACGAGCAGAACCTCGGGTAAACTTAAATTTATACCGGACGGAGGAAAAAACAGAGAAATTTTGGTTTGGTATAAAATAGTCCCTTGGGTTCAAAGTTAAAGAATTTCAGTGTTTTTGCAGCACCGCTATAATATTATCACAATAAAAAAAAATTCTTAAACTTTAAAAACTATAATATAATCCACTATATTATACTGAGTCGTTTATATTATATAATACCTCTAAAACAAATATTTAACTTATTATTGTTATTTTCTATATGACTGAATCATTATTCAACAAAATAATCTAGGGAATCTATATTATTTGAATAAAAATAAAAATTATATGATCGGCAATGATAATAATAAATTAGAGATAGAATTTTTACTCGGTGAATTCTGAATTTTGAGTTTTTTCCATTTATTTATTTATTTATTTATTTATTTATTTATTTATTTATTTATTTATTTATTTATTTATTTATTTATTTATTGTAATTTAAACGGGCTAAGCCCAATACATGTTGTGAATATGTGTGATAGCAGGTGATATTAATACGTAATTGTATTAAAAAATAGAGGAAGAAATAATTCATAAGGAAAACAGTAGAGAATTAATAATATACTATGAATTAATGATTATTATAAACACATAAATGTAGTAACTGATAACATCTAATTAAAAAATTACAAGAAGACTGAATAGAGTTTAAATTAAAAAAAAAAAACAACTTGGGCATCATTATCTAATCTAGTGGGCCTATTTAAAGGAGCATTTATGATATAGTTACATCGGTCCATTGGTCCTACATAATGTTTATATCTTAATAATAATCTGGTATTCCGGGCGATTTCCTTTTTCATCTACGAAAGACTCTAGCTTGGCCCCTCTGGTTTTGTTTAGAAAATCTCTAGATAAAGGAATTTTTCCTTCCATACTAAAAATTAGCTCTTCATTACCATTATTAAAAGCGGGTAACCCCTCTTATGTTGTAAATTATCGTTCTATTGCTAATCTCTACCATTTATTAAAAGTTTTTGAAACTTTATTCAGTCGTTCTATCCAGCTAATAGTTAATTCATTTCTGATAGATAAACAACATAGGTTGTGACCAGACCAGGACTGTTGTAGGTGAGAAGTTAAGAAGGTAGTGGAGTAATTTAATATTTATCTGTAGGCGAAACGATTGACCATTGCAAAGAAAAAACGATTGTGAGCAGAATTCGGTTAATGGTGTTGTTTTGTCAACAAAATATATGTCACATTATGGTAAAATAATTACATTTGAAACATATTTTTTCCTTAAAAATATTTGTTTAATATTCTATATATTTTCTCGGTTTTTACCATGTCTTTCCCATTTATTGGGAAAACTTCTGGAAAAATCGAAAAAATAACCTTCCTAAAGTACCATGCCAGTCAGATTTCCTTTCAAAAAAGATGTTATACTTAATACTCGGAACAAGGTTTCTGGTAGATATTGTGTTTACGTTACAAAAATATAAAAAATAATAAACATCTTTGCAAAATAAATAAATTCTTCGCTACACTCAGAATCTAAAATAATAATATCAAATACGTATTTTATAATATACTACCTACATTTTTTTTATAGATTAGATTTTCAATGTAGCGAGAAATGTATTAGTATTAATATTATGGTTTTTTTTTTAAAAACTTTTCAAGCGGACTAATCTTCTTAGATTGTCAAGTATTTTTTCTAAAATTATATATTTTCTAGTTGGTGAATTGAGTACAAAACACGGAAAAATACAATTTTTTATGTAGTTACAAATCTATTTATTTATACAATTATTTAAATTAAGTGATCTTCTCATTATAAACTTCGAATACGATTTTTAAAAAGCCAACAAAATTATATATCCATATAAAACCAAACTAAAAAAAAAAAATGAAAATATTTATGTATAATTAACAAAAAATGTCAGAAGTGACTAATGTATGTGTTATAAATGAACATTTCAGTTATTTTTTACTGAATTACAATAGCAAAACAAAATCGAAAATAACAGTTGTTAATAATATCATATGTTTGTGCGTAAATACTACTGTTTTGTTAAGTTTTCCCCCGGGTTTTTACAATTGTTCAGGAGACTACGAGAAAAATCAAATAAAATTACCTCGTCCATGCGCCGACTAAGAACTACTAGAAACTATTATGACGCCATTTTATTCGTACCCATCGGATTAGTGTTTTTTGTCACACAAATAAATGACGACATTTCTGGCTCTCGCATTAACAGGGTAAAATGACCGCAATTATGTTCTTATACTTGTTATAATTCTGTATCTAGTAAATAAGGGTATAAATAATTTATTTCGTAAATTTGACCTTATCTTTTCTACCCAACTTGTCTGTTGAGGGATGCACAACTACGTACAGACACATATTATAGAACATACATAAATTACAAAAAAAATACTGGATCGAAATTCTTATCCCAGGTGTGCTTTTTAATTTATTTTTGAATTTATAGCGGAGTGAGAAATGTATTCGATTTTACTTTGATGTTTCTGATATTATGAACACGATTTCCACCGCGATAGACTTGCATTCCGATATCATCAACATCAAAGGCACGGAGATTTGTATAGCATTTTTGATTTAGCTGGGACATTCGGAAGGTTATTTAGACGTACACGAGTTTATTTTCTCTGGGGGTCGACCTTTATTATTATTATTATTATTATTATTGTTTTTTTTGTTGGGGTGATGCTTTTCGTTCCACCGCAATACTCGTGTTTCCAATAACATCAAGAAATGGATACGATAGACTACATTGGATTTACTAATGGCCAAGATTAAAAAGTAAACCACATGTTACCAACATTATAGTCGATACAGAAATGTTTGCATTTAAGTGTTTCGAAGGTACTATACGTGTTACTAAGATGTGATTTACGTTTCACGGAAAATTCTTTTTCTGTCGTAAATATGTTCAACACATATGTATTTTCACTTATTTTTACTTTTCTGGGATATTTTTCATAGATACTAGGTTCTAAAATGTTTTCTATAATATTATGAAATTGACAATGAATGACGATGCATGGATTTTATTATTATTATTATAATTTTTTTTTTTTTTTCGGTAATTGTAATTGGGTTACTTTGTGTACAATGTACAAAAAATACGAATAATATAATATAATATAACCTTACCGGATATCTGAATACTATTCAGGTTCGTTTTTGTTATAATTTTAATAATTTATCATTGCTTATATAGTATATAAACTATATTTCTTCATACTTTTCCAATTAATCAGCCACAACAGTAGCTTTCTAATGGTGGTAGTATTTTAAAATATATTTTATGTAAAACACATAATTCGTTTTAAATACTTAATTTTTAATATTTTCTTCTCCCTATGCAATTTGATGGTCAATAATATCATTCGTTATTATTATTTATCATTCAATTCTTGCGGACTCCTTACTATATATTTTAGGTAAGGTTCATTTATTATTCTACGGCCACTTAAAATTATTATGGAAGTGTTCTGGTTTGTATAGTTTGTTCGAAAACTTTAACAACGCACTTAAGTCAAAATATCGTAATATTGTAAGTAGATACATTTTGGTTTTTAAAATTATAAAGTTCAAACAATTCAAAATATATAATTGTAGACAGAAAAGACGTTCGTATTTTGTTAGTATATTTTTGTTGTAAATTTGTTGAAAATTTAGTTGAAAACTAAGGTACGTTTTATAATTGATGAATTATTATAACGCATTACAATTCGATTTCGAATTATAATAGTCAATAATTATAAAACAATAGAAACTATAAAAATATTTAAATTGTATACTAAAACCTATACATGGTTATGCGTACGTAAATAATATCTACAATGAAGTTGTTTACAATAAATTAATTTCTTTCAATTTTTTAAAGGTGTAATTTTCACTTGATAAGTTTAAAAAAAAAAAAAATACATATAAACAAGTTTATTGATCAATTATTTTTTCGGTGTGCGGACCATATGTTGTTTTTCGTGTATTTTTCTAGAAACGAACAAAAACAAATGTATATATACTTCAGTGTAACTTGTACCTACGGTTATTATACTATTATGAGTACATTAATTAAATATAATAGCTACAAAAGAAAAAAAAAATCACGTGTTAAGTACACACGGTTAGGTGTTGCAGACAAGGGGATATAAAGGGTTACTCGCGAGTAGGTACTTTTTTTTTTTTTAACAAAAAGTTAGGAAAACTATTATGAAACGTAAAATGATATTGTACCGGCGGCAGCAGTGGCGGTGCATATACCTACGTATACACTATACGTACGCTAAACCTCGAGAATTAAACAACTTTAAATTAAATTAATTATTACATTTTAAACAGTGAGTTTATTATAATATACAACCCGATCATGGCGGTAACAGATAAAGCACGAAGTTAGAAAATATTTTCCGTGGTTTTTAATGGTTTTCTGTTTGGTAGTTTGGTATTTATACAAATTAAAGACGACGTGAAACCTATGTATACATTGCTTTAGTCCAACAGACAGGAAACATAGTTAAATTACGTTACTTATAACATCGACAATGATGGCATATAGGTTGAAATTGGATTTTAAATACAAAATTTAACATTTAAATAGGAGAATGAGACCTAAATACATCTATACTTAATAAAAAGCTGATAATGAAAACTGGGCGTGCCATTGTTGTAAAGGGGAATTTGGGAAAGTAAGATAAATTAAATTGTTTAATTTCTATCATTAAGCAACGATAAACCATTGCTTGCAAAAACCGATTAGGAGGGGATTTCGGTTATACACGCTTTAAAAAACCGTTCGTATTTTTGTTTGTTTTTTCTTTTTTTATTAATTTTTGGTCTTTCATGGTTTTTCCCAATTATTTTGAAAACCCCCTAGAAAATCAAAAAATTACCAGTTTTCAACAACTAAATAAAATTTCCTTTCAGAAAAAGTACTATACTTAGAATATTTTGAAGCAAGTTTTCTGGTAAAAAAAGTTGTTCACTGACACAACAAAAAAAAACTTTGCTAACCCCGCTACGCCTGAATCTAATGAAGCTGAACTAACATAGCTTGCAGACCTCGAAAATATTCTTCCTTTTAAATGATGTATTTATTTAAACACGAATTTCAACCTAAACGCCCCAATTCATATTCTAAAAGAAACTAAATTTCGCTATGTTGTCCTTTAAGTGCGTTCAGGCAGTTAATGGGGTCAATTTCAATGGCACCCCCAAACCAGTTATTGCGGGTATCGCGTTCTCTTATAACGTATACCTTATTAGACACCTACATGAAACACGTAAAATTGTTTGTACAGAAAATTAATTTTAAAATATTTAAAATTTTTAAACGATCTATCAAACTTACGTTTTTTTTTTTTTTTTTTTTATATTGAACGAAAAATATAGACTCAAACAATAATTAATCATGTAATCGAACATTACCGAAAGATTATTTTTTTTCACGTAGAATTATGACGTGACATATAACTCGTATTTACTTTATAGGTGTCAATATAATATTTTCACACAACTGACTTATTCTCGTGGAAGTTTTATAGTGGGTATATTATTTTATTGTACAGAGAAAAAGTCAATAGTAAATTTAGTTGCTATAGGTATAGATAATAGCAGCAAGATCGCGAGATCCGTGTATAACCGCTTATCGAAAAAATAAAATTGACAGCCGTTAAGAAGCGGGACAGAAACGATAGTGAAATATGTGTAATGTGTATGATTGGTAATTTGTATAACAGTTGGGCAGTCATAACAATTCATTACTGCCGTGTAAATTGCAGCCGACTTTAATAATGCATGCGAGTTTGCGATCTAATTGTCATCTACATTTTTTCTCTCATACTCGATTATTATCGATACTTTTTACTCTCCGTGCATAATCGCGCAAATAATATAATACCCCACACATCTTTTTATGGTGCTTGCGATCGCGAAATAAAAAAAAGCCGAAATTGTCGACCGTGAATCAGTTAATCTCATTTTTTTTTTGGTTCTTATTACACTATATTAATCATTACAATATTTCAATATTATTATCGTTTTATCGTTATTGTTGTTGCAGTCGTGGTACGATTACAAATTGCAATGGGACCCGAAGGAGTACGGAGGCGTGCAAATGCTCCACGTGCCGTCCGACCACATTTGGCGTCCGGACATCGTTCTCTACAACAAGTAAGTGAACAACAAAATTCTATCGGTCACCCCTTCTCAATTCCTTTACCGCACGACCGTGCGGAATTTGCGGCCGTTGTTTACAACCACCTCGAACAAAACCTCCGCCGCGATGGCACATCCGGTGGTTTCCCTTCCCTGCGATTAATTATGTCGCTGCCGCCGCCGCCGCAATGCACCTTCAAGGTATTACATAGTGTTCGATATCGAACAAATAACGATACAAAAATATAATATAAAACATTATGTAAAGGGAGAAAAAGTTTTTGTTTTTTTTTTTTTTTTTTTTTACCTTCTTCTTCGAGACTGACTGTAGAATAACCAGAGTGTTCGATAAGAATATTAGATAAATTATTTGTATGTAATGGCTACCCGATAGAAAATCACGGCGTGATCAGAAGGCATCATTTCGAAATTACTGAAGTTGCGGTTGACAGTTATGTATAAAAGTATAACATTTTCGATTGCTAGAACTTACAAAGAGCATAGGGATTGGGTATTGATTTCCGATTAGTTACCTCAAGTAATTTCAAAATGTCGGGAGTCATGGCGTTTGATTTTCTATGCTGGCCCGGCTATTATAAAAGGTATACGCTATCTGTATTCAAAATATAATAAATAATATGGAATATTGTGACCGTTAAGTAATAATTACTGCACATGTGTAGCTGCCGCGTGGTACGATTTCAGGGTTCTGTGGACAAAATAGCAAGAACGAAACCCTTATCATTTTGTCATGTCTGTCCGACCGTAAGTCATTGGTATATAACTCCGCCACTTTTCCACAGATTTAAATGGATGAATACTAAAAGGTATTTTATATGAAACTTCGTATAATTTTACAGTCGACACATTTTAAAACAAATTTAAGGGTTATGTTTAAAAAATCAAAAATCGAAAAATAAGAAAATATATTTTTTTTGCACTTTATCGTATGGGAAAGATTTAAAAATACAATAAACGTTTTTTTGCAACATTTTGTATAAAGATGAAAATGTTATACTGTATAAGCTCCAAAAGTCAATAATAATATGTCCCTTTATCTCTTTAGCTTAAATTATTATACATGTTAATTTTAATAATTATATTTTAATATGGGTTAAATAGTCCTAACTTTTCTTACGGGGCGTATTTGAAAGACACATAGTTCAGCCACTGCAGTATTGAACATAATGTTAAAATGCATGTAAAACGAAAACAACTTATTTTTTACAATTTTCCAATTTTATCCATTGTTTATGTTTAATTCAGTTCTGTGTTGAAACTAATTATGTTTCTACACAAAGCAAATTAGATTAACTAGCCCTTAATTAGTTTTTTATTTTTATAATATCTACTTTTGAAAAGAAATTGAATCGATCGTTGAAAACGTTAGTCTTCGATTTCGTGTTTTTATGACATAAATGATCAATAAACAATAGTTTGATAAATAATATATTTTTTAATAACTCTAGTAAGACATTTTAATGTCTTCACAATGACATTTTAATGTTTAATTTGAATGGAAATAATAATTATGTAATTAACTAAATGATCGGGCTACGATATTCCGCTGTATTAACGCATTTTATTATCAATGAATAATATGTTGGAAAATGTGATTTGTGAAAATGTGAACATTTCTAAAATGTGTATATTCAGATATAGAATGTATCTCGAAAAAAGTAAAACAGACTATATCGTGAGATAGATACACAGCCAAATCCGAGTTTGGCTACAAAATGATTGCCCAATATCTACAGGGATGTGGATAATAACTTAATATTTTCTATGGCTGTATACTTGTTAGCCTGTATATAAATCCAATCGATAAAAAATTGAATCGATTCGAGAACAGGATTTCGATGCGTTCCATGCGAGTTCAATGACGTTTCAATAGAATGGGTAATTGGCACTAGTGTGAAGACGGTCTGAATAATACAAGACTACACTTCAGATAATCTATAAAAAATGGTCTGCGTAGATTTTCTATGTCCTGTTTTATGTCCTGAAAAAGGTTTTCTTTTTTTTACGCCTTAGATTTATTTAACTTGAAAAACTACGAGTAACTTTTGGATGAGAAAAATATATATATATTTATATCTAAGAAAAAGAAACAGCGCAATTTTCGATAAATCATATTTATTTTTCTTAGAGTTTTAAACACTTTATGAGTGTAGCAATATTTTGTATAATTCGAATATATTATCTTTATCGTACTTTTGAAACCAAGAAAAATAAAGCTAATTCAACAAAAATGCGGTATAATATACTGAATTAAAATTAAGCAGTCATATTTGTTTTAAATATTTAATTCTGAATTTCATTCAATTTTTTTTTAACGCAACTTTTTTAAATTTATTTTTGTATTCGAGATAATAATAATTTGATAAAAACTATTTTATTACCCAACGACCGTTTCTGTATAATAAATATCTATATGTTACTATTTGGTTCTGATTCCTGGTTTTATTTTTTCAAAGATATTTATTTCAAAAATGATCACAATCATGTGAAAGATACGATGTATAAGCGATATAATTGTTATTTTTAATTCAATTTGCAGTTTAGAACTTTAGTTCAGTATATAGAAACTAGGTCAAAAGTTTAAAAAAAACTCTATAAATTCCCTTCCCAATTTGAAAAATCCAATGAAAAAAATATACGTGCAGCTTTGAAGTCATAAACCAACAAATATTAGTTTGGATCATTGAGTATGTACCACAATTATTCATAAGTTTAATCTCCAACTTATGTCTTACACACGATATTTAATGTACTCCTGTAATTCAAAATCGAATTTGTTTAGTTTTCATAGTATTAGACGATAAAATGCTCAACAAAAGTGTTATTTTTTTTAAAAAATAATTATGCAAATAATTTATAATTATCATTCATAATATTAAGTATAAGTATCAATATTTCCTGAGAAAAATCTTATAGGCAGTTCCAACAAATATAAAAAAAAAAAACCGGTTAAATTGGTTTTCCAAGATTTTATCGAAACAAATCTTTTTCGGTAATGTTTTTGTCTGTGGTTATAATTTAATAGGGTTTTAACTGATTTTCAATTTATTTTGATTTTAATTAATGTAGGTAACCTAACCTCAAAAATGAAAATGTAAAATGCGTATTACAATAAGCACTATAAAAGCTACTTTAATACGATCGCTTTTATTAACGTTATTTTAAAGTTTTAATTAAATATAAAAAAAAATAAACTGCACCTGACAATAATCCGTTTGTTTTGTTTATATTATATAAATTAATGACGGAACGTTGTAAATCACAGCCTGTGATTGTAAGAGTTCATTATACCGAACGGATCGTTTTCATTCAATCGATTTCACATTATAAATTAATATTTATATCGAGTTAAAACCAATTACTATTGAGGTTTATCATTTTTAAGCGAGATACGTGCGTATTAAATATCACAATTTAAAAGTGATCAGTTATCGTATAATGTTCTTCCCTTTAAGTTTAATTATAATTGGTCATTTCCCACTGAGATTAAAAGTAGGCACGCGAAATTGGTTCTGATGAACACAGTTTTTAAGACGGATTAAAATCTGATGCTTTAAATAAAACCCAAAATTCGTAATGAGCTCAACATAAGTACCAAAAGATAGTACTAATGTGAACATCCAAAATCGTCTACCTGCTCTACTCGAAGCTAGTATTCATTATTCATTGAGTATTCGAAATTAATTTTTTTATGAGTTCTGAAAAACATTTATTGAACTCTAATGAAAGTACAATCATTTTACACCAATCAACCGGTTCATACGAAGAATTTCGCTCCACAATAGTGTCTTCTTGATTTCTTATGTTACGCAAAATATTTGCATTGTCTGCGAATATAAGTATTCCTCGAGGCCGAATAATCTTCAATATAGTGTTAATGAAAATATTGAATGGAATCAGTGATATGCATCCGCCTTGAGGTACACCTGATGATACTTTTACGTTTACTGATTTATTATAAAGTAAATCAAAAAAATTAGAATCTGTCACTGAGGTATGAATAAATTCATGATAAAAAATGGATTACCCACACCCAGCTTGTCAACATAAGGATCAACGTATCATGATTTATAGAGCCGAATGCTTTTGAAAAATCATAATAAATAACATCAACTTGTTGATGGAGTTTGAATACATCTAAAATATCAAATGCGTTATTAATTAACGCATTAATCAATTAATGTAATATTTCCCACACGCGAAACGATAGATAGATAAGTTGGATTAGGCGTTTTCATCGTTTGTAACAAACTTGTTTCTTTGGCTCGGATTTAAATGCCATAACTACCATCGAAAAGTGCTCTAACAAAAATAATACCTTTAAAAGGTGACCGCAAAATGCTGAAATGCCTAAAAGTGCTTTAAGAATAAAAAAACAGTGAAAATTTGAAATAACATTTTTTTCATTTAAATAATCTTTTAAATGGATCAAACTATGCATTTGAAAAGATTTGGCTTAGATCACCTCTTGAAAAATGCACTTTACATTAAAATCCGGGCCCTACAATTATAACTAAGACTATTATGTTTTGCTTTTTCTTTATTTTTTTTTTTTTATAAATAAGCGGTACATTTTAAATAATTCGATCGACTTCGAATATATTATACGTATAACTATAAGTTATAGTACGCTACGTGGGCGACAAAAGGCAGTGTTCCAAAATATTGAAGTACGATTACGCGTATATTTATTGCGTTTACATCGCCAGCGTATTGTTATCCAGCAAGTATTATCTGTTTTATGTAATATCGTAGCTAGGTTTATAATGTTACTATGTATGTGTATATACGAACGTTCAAGTAAATAACACGTTCGTCGCGAGATAATAATATGTATTAAAATTTGCATAAACGATTTTATATGATTATACTACCTATATATATAACTGCAGCTACGCTCTTGAGAAACGTTTACTTACATAAACATAATAATATACAAATTTCCCGCGGGGTACGTATTTGAACGTTAAATTGTTAATATGTGATATCCGATTAAAT